TCGTCTATTTGGGACTCGGCTATTATTTGAAGTAGCCTACGGTACATTTTTATGGTTTCTTTTAAAACAATGCCGGATTTTCTCTCTCTTTTTAGATTTTTGACATTATTTTACATAAAGAAAAATGCATGCTGCACATGTTCTTGTGAAATAAAGTATATTTTATATAAAATGACCATAAGTTTCAAGCATTATTTTTCACCATCATGATCAGGAAGTAACTCTCATAATACAATGAAACGGATAACTATATAGAATTATATTACACAAAATCAATGTTTTAAAATGCTTATTGTACTATACCTTAATGTATCATTATAATACGTATAAAGTATGACATTTCGTGTGTAATAATGCCGTTTCATGTCTAAGCAAATTACGCTCCAAAACGTTAGGTGGCGTTACTCGGTTTAGAACGTAAGCTCCGCCCCTCACTTCCGGTCCTGGCGCTGGTGTTAGAACGTAAGCTCCGCCCCTTACTTCCGGTCCTGGCGCTGGTGTTAGAACGTAAGCTCCGCCCCTTACTTCCGATTCTGGCGCTGGGGTTCTGAAACTGGTGGTGCTGCGGGTCTGCAGCTGGATACTATTGGATAAATTCACTAAATTCCACTAAATTAATAAATGTCCCCATTCCAATTCAGCTCAAATCAAATTAAAATGGATTCAAATTCCAATTAAAAATTCTATGGAGAAGAATGCTGCTTTTTCTGTGGAAAATTCAATTCAAATTCCAACTCGAATCAATTTAAATCGGTTCAAATTCCAATACAACATTTTATGGAATGTGTGGCAAATTACATTTAAATTCCAATTAAATTCCCATTTAAAAAAAAAAAAACTCCATAATAGAATGTTTAATATATATTTGATAGGTCACAGAATTTGCCCTTTTTTCAGCTAACAAGGTGAATAATAATCAGTTAATAAATAAAAAAAATTATGGAATATTGCTGTATTTATTTGTTTGCCACATTTGATCTGGTTCATGTGTCGTTTTCATTGGGATATACGTCACAACAGGGAAGAAAAGACTAGCGCAACTTCTGTTTCATGCCGACTTTAGGACAGACAAACTAATTGACTAGTTCGAATTAATGCTATTTTTTTCTGATTTTGAGAATCTGTATTTTCGCGTTCACCTCTGCTGCCACTGAAGTTCTTGAAGGGACTGGAGCTGACGTCCTCCGGTGGAGGGGAAGAACGACTCACTTCTCCATTGGCCACTGAAGAGGCCCTGGACTGGACGCTGGTGACCGTCCCGTACGACCCGGTGAGCTCATTGGGCCCAACCAAAGGCTTGGCCTCTTCGTTGTCCTCCTCCTCCTCCTCCTCCAGCTCGTCCCGCACCTCTCCGTTCCCCTGACGCCTGTCGTCTTCGGGAGTGAAGTCCCAGTACATGAACAGCACTACGAACTGAAGGAGGATCCACAGCAGACACATAAAGAGCTGAAAAACACAACAGATCCGTCAGGCTGATGCGTCTGCAAACGCGCTCAGCGATGAAGCTTCAGTCTCTCACCCCTGGGGACGTGTATTTGTTCACTGTGAAAGGCCCGACCTGGAAGTCACAGAGTCGGAGAAAGATATTGAACGCGGGACCTAGAAGACAACAGGAAAAAAGTCAGCATGCGGAAAACACTAAACTAATGCCAAACTGTGCTGTCATTACGAGAAAATAAATCATTCTCATATTTCTGGTCAGTAAGATATTTTTTTAATGCTGGGCAACGATTAATCGCATCCAAAATAAAAGTTTGTGTTTACATAATATATGTGTGTGTGTGCTGTGTATAATTATTTTGTATATATAAATACACACACATATGCATGCATATATTTAAGAAATATTTGCATGTATGCATTTTATATATAAATAACACATTTTCCTAAACATATACATGCATGTGTGTGTATTTATATATACAAAATAATTATACACAGCACACACACACATATTATGTAAACACAAACTTTTATTTTGGAACGGTATACGGCATTAGAACAACACCAGGGTGAGTAAATTATGAATTAATTCTCAATTTAGGGTTTAACTGTGTGTTTAGAGTTGCTGAAGAAGCCTACGGGAAGGGGCAATACATTTCCGACACACGCCTGAGGTGTTCGGCCAATCACAACCTACGCACTGGGTCAGCTGGCCAATCACAGCACTCTGAGCTTTTCAGAAGGAGGGGCTTTGTATAAATCAGCGCGTTTCAGACAGGCTGGGAATAGAGGTGCTGCAGTGATGTACAGTATGTGAAAAAAACAAATAAGCATTAAAGCATGTAAGCCTATTCTATTACACCCAATAAACTAAATATTAGCATAATATGACCCCTTTTTTGCATTTTTTTTTTCCCCAAGAGTGTGTTCAGCAGAATAGTTGCTGAATCTAAAAGGGTCTCGAGTATGTTTATTGCACAACTCTAATTCCCATGTTTGGTTGTTAATGGTTGTTTTGCACCTACCAATGAGAAGCCCCGCCTGACGGCAGGCCATGACCGCAGCGAAGACGGTCGAGCGGTCCTCAGGGGCCGTGTTTCGAGTCAAGAAGCCAAAGATAGAGGATCCAGCACCAGTGCCGATACCTAGGACAGCAGAAACCAGTTCCATCACTAAAGCACCACACACACACTTAAAGAAATTAGACTGAAACTTCACCTGCAACTAGACGACTGCCGAGCAATAACCATTTGGAGTATCCCATAAAATACAAGAAATTACCTAAAGACACAGAAAGAGAGGTTACCCACAAGCCACTGATGTTGCAAGCGTAGTCTCCATTAGGTTTGGGCTTACCGACAATCTCAAAGACATTGGCGAACAGGATGATCTTCTTGGTGCCGAGTGTGCGGTCGGACCAGAGGCCGAACAGAGGCCCGACGAGGAGCCCGCTGAAGCTGAACGCTGATAGGCTGAGGCCAAGGAAGTACGGCGCCGCACTCAGCGTCTGCAGATACCGCCATATCGTGGGCAAGATCACAGCTGGAATTAAAACATCTGGATGTTAATATTACTGGTACATCTGATATGATATCTTATATATTGTCTTTAAAGCTAGTCAGCTTAGTAATTAATGCCAGTTTATTAATATCGAGTCTTCTGTGACTCACTATAATGAAAAATCTGAAGAATCTCTGAACACAAAGAGCGATTCTGAGACAGGAATGTCAGAAAACGTCTCTTATACAAGAAACAAGGGTATTAGAAACAAGTAACAATTCAGTCACGGTTATTAGCAACAGCACGTTATACGTTCGTGATGAATGTGACAGTATCCTTATTATATGGAGTCAAGAAGAAGAAGAAGGGTGATTTACATTATTAAGCATTTTCCAGACTACTGAAACATTTATTTTATATAAGTAATCCAAATAAAATAGCACACTAATAACAAAGAACATCTTTTTTCTTTATACCATAGCAATATGAATAGTTTAATGTTTTTCAAGGTTGGCACTTTGGAGTCCCATTAACTTAACAAGTAGCCTATATGTTAATATTACGTTAAATTCCCATTAACTTAGACTAAATGTATGGAAATATTATGTTAAATTAATGATAATTGTTCATTATGTCAAAATCCAAATCAAATCCATATCCACTCAAATTTCAGTCCAGCATTCTGTGGTAGATTCAACTCAAATTTGAGCTCAAATTAAATCAAAATCCATTCAAATTCCAATTCAAAAATTGGTAGCGCTCTTAGCAAATTCAATTTACCGGTAAACAAAACAAAATGTCTGAACAGATTTGAATTCAAATGTAACATTTTGTGGCATGCATGGCAAATTCCATTTAAATTTAAATCAATTCACATTCCAATTCATCATTCTCTAAAAGTGTGTGATAAATAATTCATTTCATAATCAAAATCAATTTAAATCCAAATCCACCATTCTGTGGAGTGTGTGGTAAATTATATTTCAATTAAAATTAATTCATTAAAATGTTCATGACATCTGAAACATTTAGCAAAATTATTATTTGATATATTTATATGTATCCATTTATTTTAACATAAGGAATTTCAAGAAGATATGACATGGTACCATAATAGCAATATTTTGATGTGTAACTTAAGTAGGGTTGGGTATCGGTTGGGTTTTATCCGATTCCAGTACCTACTCGGTATTTTTTAAACGGTTCCGGTGCTTAAACGGTTCTTAAATCGGTACTTAAGAAAATGAAACCGCACACACTTTATCAAAAAATAATACCCTTTAATTTACAGGGCCAAACTGGACACAAAATTAACTTAAATCTTTAAACAATATAAATACAAGTAACATATGGTAATAATAAAACCAATGTAAAATAAAAATTCATATTTACATAATATCAAATGAAACAATATTGTATCAAACAATGTAATAATACTGGAGATTGCAGAGCTGCCAAATCTCTCGCATTGACCGTGAGACTCACGCAAATGACCCTTTTCACACAGAAAAATCGTGGGCAAAGAGGACACTGACACCGACAGACAGACAAGACAGAGAAGGTTACTTTTGATATGGAACAAATCCACAGCTGTCAGGTTCTGTCAATATTTTTACGAGATTCACACAATAAATAACGTTTTGGCTCTTTGAAATGTGACAGATCGCTGTAGCGCGTCAGTTCAAACGGCACGTGATGATACAGCAGCCTACAAATACAAATCCACTGCTTCTTAGCTACGCAGCGTTGAGTGAACCTATGAAAGAGAACATCTCTGGTTACTGGTGCAACATATCTCTCAATAGGGAACGGGACGCTGCCAAGCTCCTCGCGCTGCCGACCAGCTTCCTTTTTCGGCAGAGAAATCTGAGGAGCAGATGGCGGCGCGCGCGCGCGCCAACATAATATGACGACGTAAGTGCATCGGTACGGCGCCCGCGCCATCAGCCAATGAATTGGCTTGATTCTACATGGGATTTAGACTATCGGCACACCCAGAGGGCGTTCTGACACGTAATTTTACACGTGAAATGCAGCCAAACCTTGCGAGAAAGGGCGCGCATGCGAGACAGAAGATAGAGATGGGATTTATGGCTCTTTGAGGAGATCCGGATCTTTGCGATCCGTTCCTTTCAAAGAGCCGTTCAAAAGAACGGCTCTTTTGGCTCTTTTTAAATATTTAGTCAGTTTAAAGAAGCCAGCTTGGGGGAATCTCAGTTTATCCTGGAAATAATCACTGGGAGGAATGATGAGGTGAGATTTGTAGTCAATTAATTAAAACTCAGATATCACACACCAATATCTGAGTTTGAATTATTCTGAAATATTGATTATTACCTCATTTGTCATGTGTGGACTATATTCCATAGGGTTGCACAACATCCCTCTGCTTAGAAAGTGATATCACTATTTTGGATTTACCTTTAGTACAAAGTATGTGTATGTGTAAAGCTATGTTGACTTATGTTATTCATACAATACCACAAGAACATTTTGATAAAAAACAAAAACTATTTAAAGTTGTAAATATATACTGTAGATACAATAACATGAACACAAAATGCAATGTAAATAAATACAAAGCAGTTCCTTTGTATTTATTTACAAAGGAACTTAGTGTTACTTTAGTGTTTTTTTTTTGTTTTTTTTTTTAACTGGAGTAACCATGTGACGGCATAAGTCATTGGCTCTGCTCCTACCCAATGACAGCACGTAGGGTTTTTTCCCACTGGAGTACTCACGTAAAGGATGCGCGCGCGTGCACAACTATCATCATGCTGTTAGGCAGTAGCACCCCTGCGCTGGGTGCGCCCCTTCCCCTATAACTGAGGAGCTAATTTGTGTGCATCTGTGTGAAACACGCATGAAAAAAGAACGACAGAAAGAACGGCTCCCCTCCAGCCGCGATTCGGCTCCCATCGTTCATGTTTATGAGCCGTTCAAAAGAATCGGTTCGTTCGCGAACGTCACAACTCTAACAGAAGAAACTGTGCTCCAAACTGTGTAGCACACGCAAGGGCACGGCGGAGAGGGAGAGAGCGAGAGACCTTGCGTGTGTGTGTGCGTGTGTGCCTAATGAAGTTAGGCACCGAAATCAGGCACCGAAATTTTCGTTCTTATTCGGTCTGGTTACTACCGTTTACGTCGGAACCGGTTCCCTATTGGCACCGAGTTTCGGTACCCAACCCTAAACTTAAGTTACCATAGTAATGTCATGCTAGTGTGGAGTAAGTTACCAGTAGCTTGAAGTATATATATATATATATATATATATGAATGACAATTGTTCTGTTTTACTGTGGTAATAGCGTCTGATACCATCAATATCTGATACCAGAATTAAAGTGCTGATATTAGCCATAACGTTACTGTAATTCTCCCATGTAAACACTTGTCTCTGAACTTACCGTACTCGATGCCGCTCAGTAAGAAGATCAGTCCTATCGTGAAGAAGGTCAGTCTCCTCTTGCGTCTATAGTCCATTTTACCCTCTTAGCACGATTTATAACTTGTCTCAGCGACTTTGACTCATTTTATCATCGCGTCCCGCGGCACATAATGATCATGACACTGCGACCAATTACTTCAGTGAGTCCAGAGACAGCACAGCACACTGCGTACTAGAGACTAGAGACGAGCATACTTCAGCACGGAAGATCACCCACACGGGGCTGAACCGGCCACCGCGAGCGTCGCTGAGATGCAAATCAGAGAATAACTCTCATAAATCAGCAGAATATCGCATGTCAGTTATGATACCGTGCATTATTCGAACGCAGTGATTTTAATAACAGTAGCCACGGTAACAGATGCACCTTACGAACGTCACTCTGGCGTCACTTCCGGTTGGTATTATAAATTCGACCTTTTGCTAAATAATCTAGAAAAGTACACACTACCGATTAACAGCCCGAATCTCACCTTTTTTAAATATTAAAATATTATAAACATAGCCATGGCATGAAAAAAAAACGGGGTTTTGAAAACAAAATGTCCGTATAAAAGTCTTTTGACAATCTGTTAAGCTGATATTCAATTTATGGCACTAAAAATTACTTGAAAGAATCTTTTAATGCCAACTAATATCAATTCACTTTCCATGTTATTTTCTAGCAACAAACATTTAACAAATTAAATAATAGTATATAAAAAAGGATATATATATACATACACAATTTTATTATTTTAACATTTAAAATGTAATATTCTATTACACTTAAATAATTTTCCATCTTTAAATATATATCTTAAAATAAAGTCAAAATGTAATATATAATTTGCAAAACTGTATATATAAAATTAAATGAAAAAGTAAAGTTATATATACATAACTTATTTTAATATTGTTTCATTTGTTAAATGTCTACTGCTAGAAAATAAAAAATAAGGGTTTTAAAGTGTATTTTGACACTCAATGTTGATCAAGTATCTCCTTTTAAAACATATTTCGAACTCTAATGTGAAATTGTCTTGTTTGCCCCTGTATAAAGACAACCTCGGGTTAAACACTTCATCCAGCCCCTCATCTACTGAAGCTTCGGTCTTATGATTTCCATTACGGCCTCTCACACTGTCACACACTGACGCTTTTATTTCCTTTAAATTACATTAAACTGCACTTCTTTCTGTGTCGGGACGTCATTTTTTGCTGTCACTTAAATTCTCAAGGCCCAGGATGCAGTATTTTACACTTTTTTCAGACAATTTCTCATTTACTGATAAACAGTTTAAAAGAAAACAAAGGTACAAAATGTTATATGCGTCTCAATGCGATTCAATGGGGATTGGATTAAAACGTTTGGCCGACACATGCAATGAGAAAACAGTTCATCAAATGTTTTGAGCATATAACCAAAAATGTTTTCTACGTAATTTCCCACAGTTTCCAGATATCATCAGCAATATCAGTGTCTCATCAAAAGAAAGTCATGTTAAAAAAAAAAAGAAAAGAAAAAGAGAAGTCTCCTCAGTCCTGAAAAGCGAGAGTCCGCACGGATCAGGAGATGCGATGGGAAACCCTTCAGAAAGCAAGTTTCTTCATCAGCAGATAAACCCTGGAGTCCACCTCGAACCCATGCAAGTTATTGGCGTCGCCCTGAAGCCGCATCAGCAGGCCTCCGTAAGACACGTACGCCGACCTGTGCACACATTCACACACCTTTTGATCATTTACTGCAGTCACAATGAGAAATTTCCCATTAAAACGAGCGACTAAAATTCATGAATGTCGAAAAGCTTGAACACACTCACAGTCGTGTGGCGGCTTCTGTGGAGGTCTCATCGCCTTCGATCCTGTAAACCTTTCCATACATGACATAATCAAACTGATCAGCCCTGCAAAGGAACAAGAATCCCCAGAAATGATCATTAAAATAACTGTGTTCTCTGTGAATGTGTGTTAAGCTGCAATGATCAAAGCTGCATTGGACTTTTTAGTTACATATTTGGTATCATAACCACATGATCACCTAGACGGTCTGTCATCTTGAGGGTTGTATTCGCCGTCGTCCGGCGTCCCGTCCTCATACAGTGTGCTGGCGATCACCAGCCTGAACTTGTCACCTGAGAGAACAGGGTGCGTATAGATTAGGGGTGTGACGGGTCGAATTTCTCACAGTTCGGTTCGTATCACGGTTTTAGGGTCACGGTTTCGGTACGGTTTAAATATCCAAACTACAGGCAACAGCACCAATAAATACAATAGAGCAAAGACACAAAATAAGTGTTTTTCGGGTTTTTCTGGTAGGACCAAACCAACATTAGTTTTCAAGGTCCCGGTGCTTCTACCAACCCAGAAAATGTGAAAAGTGACAACTCAGTAAGTTGAACTGATTTGTAGCTATACAAACACTTAAATTACACTTATTTATTTTTATAATAATAAAGTTATATGAAATATAAACATTTAAATGGTGGCTGTCATAAAAACTTGCCAGATTTATTCAAACATGCATTAAATATCGAAGAACATTAAAAATTATAATTTGTATGTAATATGGTGCATATATTTAGCAAAAGAGTTACTTTTTCTAGCTGACTAACGAGTTTATGGTCACATGGTTTTTCTGAGGTAAATGTGACGTTACATGACATTGTTTACAAGTTGTAAACATTGTTTACTGACGTCTTTCCACGGTTGAAACACTGATTGAGCGATTCCATGTGACATGATACGGATTTCGATAAGTTGTACTCTATCTTTAAACACACTTTCAGACGTTCATTCATGTTTATTTGGCGCTGTAACTGGTATTATTAAGGCAGAAGAGGAGATCATGTGTGCTCCGCGCTGCTGCTTCTCTTGAGCTGAGCCAGAGCGATCTCACGCCACAGCGCCAAGACGGTATTTATGTTTTTGAATTTCATAAGAAAATGGACGTAATTTGAAATTTGAGACTTTATTTAGTATCAATAGTAACAAAGCACGAAAATTATTGCGATCTATTGGATGGGATGCGCGCTACAATGTTCCATTCATTCTAGTGATGGGCGGATCGATCCTGAAGTATCGATACTGACGTGGTATCGAAAAGGATCGATCCTTACATAAAAATATCGATCCAAATGTGTATTTTTTTACCAGTAATTTTTTATTAATTTAGCACGCAATTCAGTGCGTAAAATAAGCTTCTAAGTGGAAAAATAAGCAAATGTTAGCGGGTAATTGTGTAGGATAGAACCTTTTCTCCTAGTCATCTATATACAAGACGAAACCAATCAATCACAGAGAGCGTTCGCTGCTGGTGCTTCGCTGAGCTCACAGGCCCAGTGCGTTTGGGAAACGAAGCCTTGCTTAGATGACAGAGAAACAATCGGGAGTTATTTCGCAATAAACAAACCAAAACTGTAGGCTACATAACGGTTTAAAATGTTGACGTCAGTAAGATCTTTTTTATGAAATTAATATTTTTAGTCAACAAGGATCGATGCATTAAATTGATCAAAAGTGACAGTCAAGGGTTTTACACTGTTAAAAAAAATCTACTTCATATAAATGCTGTTCTTTCAACTTTGTTCATCAAATAATTCTGCATAAAATGTATCATGGTTTCCAACAAAATATGAAACTGTTTTCAACATTGATAATAATAAGAAATGTTTCCTGAGCAGCAAATCAGCATATTAAAATGAATTATCATCATGACTGGAGTGATGATGCCGAAAATTCACCTTTGATCACATGAATAAATTACAGTTTACTATGGCATAGAAAACAGATAGCCTATGTCAAATTGTTCAATTGTAATATTACAGTTTTTACTAAGAGAAATAAAAATCTTACAGACCCCAAACTTTTGAACAGTAGGCTAGTACTAGTAGGCTAGTACTATAATTAGGGTAGTTTTGTAAAAGTCTCTGACTAATTAAAGGGGAGTTGAGAGCACAAATCACAAAATATTTAGGCCTAGTAGTAATGAAAAAGTGTTCAGATTTAGCATATTAATGATGCATTCACCTCATAAATCATGACACACAGGAAAGTGCATACAAGTTCAAATGCATGCTTTTAAAATGAAAAAGTATCGGTATCGGTATCGAAATCGGCGATACTGGCCCTGTATTTACTTGGTGTCGGATCGATACAGAAATTTGCAGTATCGCCCATCACTAATTCATTCATCAAATGAAAACAGGATGACTAATCGATTCTTGAGATTTAAGAATCGATATCGGTTCGTAAATATGAGAATCGATTAATATCGAGAAATCGATATTTTTTACCCAGCCCTACTGAACACTATTTATTTAACCCCCCAAAAAAAGTCACAGTTGTCTTGTTTAGACCTCAGGGAACTGTCAACTTGTGTAAAAGTTAAACATGACGGCCCATGCAAGTCGATTAGAATTAGATGAATCAGTGAATCAATCCACTAACCATTCAGATGCGTCTAAAAGTTGCACCTCGTCCTGAGTCTCTCCGTAAAGCCCCGTTCACACTACAAGCGACTTTGTCGCTGCATGTCGCCAGTGGCTGGCGATGAGGTCGCTAGTGGGAGTTCCCACTACTGGTTGCCTTTATGAATGACATCCAATGATGTGGAGAAGGATCATACGCGCTCCGCTCCTATTGGTTGTCGCTCCCGAAAGTCGCTCCTCATTTGCATAAAGTTAAACAGATCTCAACTTTGTCGCGTTGCCAGACACGCCCCATCCGGTCGCCAACGGTCGCTGTCGCGTGTGTCGCCGGAAATCGCCAGCTCCCCATTGAAATGAATGGTATCGCGACGCTTGGTTGCGTGTAGTGTGAACGGGGCTTAAAGGATCGGCCTCTTCTGAAGGGGGGGGGGGGGGGGGGGGGGCAGCAGCTCATTTGCATTTAAAGGAACACACACACAAACGCCGTGATTTTCCAAAAAGGGACAAATTTGACAAGCTATAATAATAAAGGATCTGGGGGGTATTTTGAGCTGAAATGACACAGACACATTCTGGATAGAGATGTTCCGATACCCTTTTTCTCTTCACCGATACCTGGACTCAGGGCATCGGCCGATACCGAGTACTGATCCGATACCTGGGTGTGTACAGTATCTGTACAGCTGCAATTCATACTAGCACTGTATGAATTGATAGAATTATTTTATGGTGTGCTTCAGACTTGTCCCTTAATAAAACATGAATACATACAGTGAACTAGAGTATTTTTATTATCTGACATACATTTTACAGCAATATATTATTTATTTTTCTTGAGTGAAAAAGAACTTAAAATGCAGCCACACGTCTAATACTTTAAACTGAAAAAAGGTATTTTAGAATTACAATATAACTATAAAAAAAGTGCAACAAATAAATCTAGGAATCTAAAAAATGATATATGAATAATATAAGAAAATAACCTCTTTATAACTTAAAGTCCAGAAACAATTTTGTTAAATACACGGCATTTCAGTTTTGACAGCGGCTGGTCATCCAGAACAAACTCGATACATGCTGTCGGTTGTATTTATCACTCGTTGGCTGTCTTTTGAAAACTTTTCTCTTCGTTTGAATGAAGCTTCCAGAGATTGTTGATTCTGGCGCGGCTCATCCTCCGTCTGCCATCGTGTTCAGCGGGGTGACGCGTCTTAAATCGCTTTATTAAGTGTTGAAGCTGCTAAACTTGTTCCACCCCTCGAAATTGCAGTATGGCATATGAGACATGTCGCTGTTTTACTGGCTGGTTGGTCCAGTCTTAAATACTGCCAAACAGTGGACACACTGCTAGCGCGCGCTTTCTTCTTCGCTGCTCTAAACAGTGGTTGCTTGTGGCAACAGCACAACTTCCTGTGTTTCCACAAGCAACCACTGTTTAGAGCAGCGAAGAAGAATTGATCTCCGATTTGCAGCGTTAAGCAAAGCTAGCGTGCATAACTAGTTACTGTTTAAAGGGGTCATATAATGGTACATGCACTTTTACAAGTTGATTGTACTGAAATGTGTGTTGGCAGTGCCTGTACACAACCATCATATAATGATACAAATCCATCCAGTGTTTTTGTTTTAATCTCCTTATATGTTTTCCCCTGCCTCAAATCAAGCCGTTCGACCGTGTGACGTCACACGCTCGGAAGCCCCTCCCACAATTGCTGATTGACAGCCTCGTTTCAACACAGACCCGCCCTCGCTCGTGAGAGCTGTCAACCAGAGTCTGCGCGGACCGGCGCGGTCATTGTTGATACGCTGGAGCACTGTCTATGAGCAGAATGGCGTCTAAGCGATTGTGGTGTTCTGTTCTTGGGTGTAATAACGAACACAGCAGTCATTTTAATGTTCCTGAATCCGAACCGCTGAAGACGCAGTGGCTGAGTTTTGTTTTCGAAGGGAATATTCCCCACGAGCAACGTCAATGCTCTCATGTTTGCGCGAATCATTTCTCACCAGACTGCTTTATAAACGAGGGTCAGTATGAGCTGGATTTGCTAAGAAGCTGCTCCTGAAAAAAGGATCGTTACCAGATATTCGTGTTCCTGCTGAACCTCCAGAAGAACTGAAGTGAGTGTAACGTTTTATTAAACTTTATATTAATATTTATATTAATCTTTGCAAATCGCTAGCTGCACGCTTCACAATGAATGCGTCTAAGGTTTACACTCAGGGTACATTACGGCATGTTTTCTATGTACGACGTTCTCAATATAATTCATAATCCCACGTTTATACTGAACAACGCGTTATGGTTATTGTGTTATTGTGTTACAAACGGTGTATGCACAGAACAGAGAGGCGGGGTGAGCAAAGCTCATTATCATTTAAAGTCATATGCACTGAAACGGCGTGCTGAAAACAGAGCTGTTTTTGACCAGGTAAAATAAGTGTTTTCTTACAATACTAATGAGAATTTTTAATTAAAGTATATCACAAACTTTTAATTTAGACCCTAAAGAATCATATTAGCTTGTACAAAAATGGCATTATATGACCCCTTTAAGAAAAGGGTATCGGATCGGTACATGGGTAGAAGTACTCGCCGATACCGATGCCAGAATTTTTATTGGTATCGGCGGCATTTCTAATACTAGTATCAGAACAACTCTAATTCTGGGGACACCATAGATTTATAATACCTCGCTCTTGTGAAAAGAGGCATCATATGACACCTGATGCACGGGTCCAGCACACACGCGCCGTCTTTCTCCAATGCTTACTTTCACTTAATGTCTGCTGGGATACTCACCAAGATGGGCACGTTGACATCATTTTTGTGTAAATTTGTCCATCCGAATTTGTCCAAGCACAAAACTTGAAAGAGAAGTCAATATCCGTGCGCTGTCTGAGATGTGTGAGTTATGACTATGATTATAATGATTGTTTAAAAAAAAAATTGGTGTAGAAAATTAACTTTATAATTATATTTAAAAGTTAATGCAAAACCTGCCTTATGTGCAATTTAAAGTACCTTTCTTAAAATTATATTTTTAGAAATTAAAACTGAATTAATAATTTGGGCTCTGTTGTTAATTCTAAACTTTAATATTATAGTAATGTGTAATTAAGGGCTCCCTATATAGTTTACAGCATTAGCAAAGATACATTTTTTTTTTCTTTAAGAATTTTTTTATTATAATATAATTTAATTAAACACAGAGACACGTGGTTTAATAATAAACATTTAAAAAAAAGCATTTTTGTGTTTAGTTTTCTCCCCTCTGCTGTACCGAACCGTGACTTCAATACCAAGGTACGTACCGAACCATCATGTTTGTGTATGTTACACACCCATATATATATATATAATAGTGATATGACATAATATTTGAATGACAACTGAACATCAATGACTTACCGAGCTCGACAGGATAAATCTGGATGTTCACATCAAGGATCAGGTCCATTTTGAAAGACTCACTTTCACAGTGAAGACGAGATACTAATAACAACAAAACAAATATGAATTTTTTATATTTTGATGTTATAGATTGCCGGTGTTTTTGGACAACAATGAGTTGGATTTAAAAGTAACTTTAGACATCCTTCAGTAACTTTGCAACGAAATGTCAACTAGCAGTCGTATTAGGTTCGGTTTAATAGTGTAAGTAGTCTACTAATACTGTAATGAGAGTTAGTGGACATGTATTTGCAAAGTTACTTATAGTCAGTCGAGTGTCTAAAATAAACCATCGAAATAAAGTGACACCAAATATTGTTCTGGCATAGAAGGTGTTTTGTAGTGGATATAGCATAGTATATATTATAGAGCAAAATATGTTTTTATTTAGTTGTTGTCTTCCCAATATCCGTTATTAAAGTAGCATTTACGTTCAAATGAATATTAAGTAAAAGGTTAAATATTTTTATTTTCTTGTTATTTATTTGTACTTAATTTTAAACTTTTTGTTTTAATGTTGAATGCTCAGTATCAATTATTAATATAGCATTTACATAAGAGAGTATTTACATTAAAACATTAACAAATAAAATAAAATATTTTTTATTTGAATTTATTAATGCATTTTTTAATGTTTACACTCACTGTCAAACGTTTGGAATAATTATGATTTTTTTATGTTTGTGAAAAAAGTCTCTTCTGCTTTCGAAGGCTGCATTTATTTGCTCAAAAATATCATAAAAACAGTAATATTGTGAAATATTACTCAATAAGGATACATTGGACTGATAAAAAGAAAAACGTGATTATTCCAAACTTTTGGCCGCCAGAGTAAAGTAAATACTAATTTATGATATAAATACTACTTTAATAATGGATATCGGGGGGAAAACACTAAAGAAAAATAGTATTTCTTAAAGTAGTAACGTTAAACATTAATTTCATATTCTCACCTCTGTCAAACTTTTTTCCATCCGGATCAATATCCTTCACATCAAAGATGTCCTCAAACAGAATCCCAGCCATCTGTCCTCAAACTGGCGATGTATTATCCTGGTCAAACAAAATAAGGAGGGCAAAATTGAACACGTGACTCTATAAAATATGAATGAAATACATGTCGATGTTTCATAAAGCCTCATACTATCACTCTCGTTAGTATCAAGTACCGTTACATTATACATAGCGTTTTAAATAAACGCTTTTCTGCAAATATGACATACTTCCTCCAGATATAGTGTGCGTGATATCGTTCCAGTTAAAAATGTAAGCGAACAACTGTATAAATAAACAACTCTCTTCTCATTCACACAAATATGAAACATGCCGCGAAACAATGTGCTTCACCTCCGGCCACGTGACTTACTACTGCATCCGGTTCATGGCGCGATTAAATATATATAATTTTACTTTGCTCTCAAATATAAATATTCCACCGTCGTAGTAAATTACACAGTCGTAATAAAAAAAATACGTAAATAGAAAAAGTAATACATAAATAAGAATATATAAATATACCTTCTTTTTAGAAGGCTGGCACGACATAAACGAATTTTAAAAAAGCATGCCAGTGTTGATTATAATAATTCCATTCTTAATGAAACAAACCAATAATTTTATTTTAAGCCAAAGGGATCATCGAGAAAAATACAAAAGACTACATTTTATCTCACGTAAAACTACAAAACTTTTACGACTCTGATTTCCGGCAACCGTAGTTTCGTTGCGGTTGTTAGGAGAAAGCGTCTTCCTCATGGTTACCGCCACAGTTAGCCAAACAGCTTCTGTTTATGCCGCTGAAATCATCTTTAACAGTCTATATTTCTCGACAGGTTTGACTTAAAACACATCAGATATGTTGAGCGTCGGTTGTACATTAAAATATTCTTAACGAGGTGAGTTTTGTTATACTCAGTCAGACTGTAAACTGGCTATCAAACAAGCTAGCTAACGTAACTGTATTATGGGTCATACGTTATATATGTGTATTCTGCTCATTATTATATACCTAAAAATATGTGTAGTGTTTTCAGCAGCATAAACAAGTCGGTTTCTGCGTTTGTTTTGCCTTGGACTGAAGATAGGAAAACAGTTCTCAAGTGACTTATTTGTAAAGCAAATGATGTAGCTATTTTGTTTGTTTTGTGTCGGTTTTCTCAGCGATTACTTAAAGCCTTGCCAGCAAAAAGCTGTTTATTATACTATATAAAAGTATTATTTAGTATTTAGCAGTGACATATTCGTCTTGAGATGTATATTTTCTTTATGCTTTTCTCTGTATTCCAGTATTATTAAAGTATATGCTATTTATTAGATTGTGGATCAATGAGCTCCAGAAAATCTGAAAAGATGGGTGAGAATCTGGCAAGTGAAAGTGATCTCCTGTCGATGATCAATGAGGTGAGCTTACAGCACCTTTATCAGTTTATTTATTTAAGTAATATTTCACAAATATAGACATATAATGACAAATAACGTAACGGTTTACAGTATCTGAAGTTTGGCGAATTTGATGAGACTGCGAGAGTGTTTGAAAAGGAAATCAAACGCAAAGGAAAACCTGCCCTCAAAAGCTGCGGAGCGTCACGCCGAGACTCCAGAACCGCCATCATCCATGTGAGAGTTTCTGATCTCATCCACTGACAACATCACACGCTCATCTCAGTGTGTTTTAGGAGACTCACTTGCCGTATTATTTAACTTGCTTATTATAAACAATATTATAAACTATGTATCTATCTATCTATCTATCTATCTATCTATCTATCTATCTATCTATCTATCTATCTATCTGTCTGTCTGTCTGTCTGTCTGTCTGTCTGTCTGTCTGTCTGTCTATCTATCTATCTATCTATCTATCTATCTATCTATCTCTTTCTTTGTCTGTCTGTCTATGTGTCTGTTTGTCTATGTGTCTCTCTATCTATCTATCTATCTATCTGTCTATCTGTCTATCTGTCTGTCTATGTCTATATCTATCTATCTATCTATCTATCTATCTATCTGTCTGTCTGTCTGTCTGTCTATCTGTCTGTCTATATCTATCTATCTATCTGTCTGTCTGTCTGTCTGTCTGTCTGTCTGTCTGTCTGTCTGTCTATCTATCTATCTATCTATCTATCTATCTATCTATCTATCTATCTATCTATCTATCTATCTATCTGTCTGTCTGTCTGTCTGTCTGTCTATCTATCTATCTATCTATCTATCTATCTATCTATTTGTCTGTCTATGTATCTGTCTATCTCTTTGTCTGTCTGTCTGTCTGTCTATCTATCTATCTATCTATCTATCTATCTATCTATCTATCTATCTATCTATCTATCTATCTATCTATCTATCTATCTATCTTTCTATCTATCTATCTATCTATCTATCTATTTGTCTGTCTATGTATCTGTCTATCTCTTTGTCTGTCTGTCTGTCTATGTGTCTGTTTGTCTATGTGTCTCTCTATCTATCTATCTATCTATCTATCTATCTATCTGTCTGTCTGTCTGTCTATCTGTCTGTCTATATCTATCTATCTATCTATCTATCTATCTATCTATCTATCTATCTATCTATCTATCTATCTATCTGTCTGTCTGTCTGTCTGTCTGTCTATCTATCTATCTATCTATCTATCTATCTGTCTGTCTGTCTATGTCTATATCTATCTATCTATCTATCTATCTATCTATCTGTCTGTCTGTCTGTCTATCTATCTATCTATCTATCTATCTATCTATCTATCTATCTATCTATCTATCTATCTATCTATCTATCTATCTGTCTGTCTGTCTGTCTGTCTGTCTGTCTATATCTATCTATCTATCTATCTATCTGTCTGTCTGTCTGTCTGTCTGTCTGTCTGTCTGTCTGTCTGTCTGTCTGTCTGTCTGTCTGTCTGTCTGTCTGTCTGTCTGTCTATCTATCTATCTATCTATCTATCTATCTATCTATCTATCTATCTATCTATCTATCTATCTATCTATCTATCTATCTATCTATCTATCTATCTATCTATCTATCTATCTATCTATCTATCTATCTATCTATCTATCTATCTATCTGTCTATCTGTCTATGTATCTGTCTATCTCTTTGTCTGTCTGTCTGTCTATGTGTCTGTTTGTCTATGTGTCTCTCTATCTCTTTGTCTATCTATCCATCCATCCATCCATCCGTCCGTCCGTCTGTCTGTCATATCTAGACTTTCTCAAGTAACATTTTTATCTATTTAAAAAAACATATTTGTATGTAAAATGTAAAAAAAAAAACACTGCTGTCATCACCTGTCAAGTATTTTACAAAGCAAATTTCGAAAAAGAGTTTAAAATGAAGTATAATTAATTTAAAAATGTTTACGTAGTGATCAGAGTGCTGTTATTTGTGAATTTTAAAAGATTACAAAAATATTGAAAAGCAACTGAAAAGTTTTTCATAAATAAAGTTAACTCATTATTTGATCACTTTTTCCCTTCTCTTTCCTACAGGATGATTGCCTCAGCTCATTTAATGATGGAGACTATAAGGTATTCTCTGAGCTGTGGGCTAAACATATCCCTGCAGAGATCCGGGATCGTGATCCAGCGGCACAGAAACTGGAGTTCTACTTACAAATTCATTTCACGATATACCCACTGAAATCACCTGTAGGAAGTCACGTAAGTGCACTTTATTTTTGGTAATGGAAATCAAATGACCTGTTACTTTGAAATGAAATGACTGTAGTGACATAGATAAATATACAATGCATGTACGCCGTTCGACCAACAGATGTCCCCATAAAATAACATATTCAAGCAAGCCTCTCGTTCAGTCAAAATGCGTGACTTAAATCAATATTTAAAAGACGTTGTATTGGCTTTCAGTCAAGATGCAAGTAACGTTTTTGTTTAATGTGAAAACATAACTGTGTAATGCAGGATAAAGGAGAGTTTGAGAGCAGGATCACACATTTTAAACAGTATCTGGAGACCAGAGGGGCGGCGCTGAGCCAGACCACTGAGTTCCTGCCCTTCTACGCCCTGCCGTTTGTGCCCAATCCCACGGTGCACCCGTCCTTCCAGGAGCTCTTCCAGGTGCAACACACACTAACAATCGCCAGAACACCAGCTGATTCAAAGCCACTGCAAAAAAATGCTTTGAAAACTTAGTTCTTAGAATAGGATAAGAGATACAGTCTTATAGGTACATCATACTAGCATGTTGAGAAATTCATATGTTTATGTGTGGCAAACATCAGCTACACTGAGCCCTTGCCTGATGGAGATTGCAGAAGCAGTTTTGAAGTGTTGTCATGTTTTTTCTACTTGATCACAGGATTCCTGGATGCCAGAGTTGAGAGAAAGGCTGGAGAAGTTTCTTTCAGTGACTCTGAAAGCGTCAAACAAACCAAGGCTTTTGACTTTATATGTATCCTTTTATATATATATATATATACACCTTTGTCTAGTGTGAAGTACTCGTTTTAATTAATCCTGGGTAATAATTACATTTGTTATGTCTTCAGAAGGTTTCTCAATGAAAATGTTTAACTTTTATTGACTCATTGAACCTTATCGAATGTCCGTTTTCTAATCTCATGGCAACTGCTTCTCTATGTGGAACAAAGCAGAAGTGTTGTATATTGTTAACGGTTTAAAGATACATTTAGCAGTGTTTTACAGGTTAATACAACAGTAGTGTGGAATGCACAAAGGTATCTGATAATGAAGGTAATATGAAGATAAATCAGTATTCTGCAGGTCATGTGATCATGGCGGCCAACATGAGGACACACCATTTTATTGAATACATGTGTTCTAGACCACTTATATGACTAATAACCTCCATCTCACTTAAAACGTACATAAACTAATAATTACATAGGAAGTGTCATAAAAAGCAGTTTCAATAACCATAAAAATTATATTATTAGAATCATTTTTAATAGAGTATATAAACTGCCATTTAAAAATTTGGGGTCAGTGCGTTTTTAAAAATAATAATAATACTTCTAATTTTTTTTAAGCATGCAGTGAATTGAACAAAAGTGACAGTAAACACATTTATAATGTTACGCCTTTTTTATTTCAAATAAATGCTGTTGTTTTGAACTTTTATATTTTATATTTTTTTATCACAGATTCCATTCTAAAAAACAAAATGCATAATTGGTGAGCATGAGAGAGTAGGTTCAATACAGTTTTAAAGGCAGTGTGTAGTATATCCTTTTACTATAAAGCAATAGTGAAAACAAATATGTTTAGTGGAATGTTTAAATCACTGAACCTAAGCATCGGCCATATTAAAAGTGAGACATGCTTTTGAAACGTCAAAAGTTTGACCTGAAACCTGAAATAGCCGTGCGCATTTAATAATTCATTGTTTAAGAGCAGCTGAACGGCCCACCTTTGAATTTATGACATCAACCAAAGCTGCTTTACAATAAACTTTATTGTACGATAAACAAAAAAATGTCTACCTCAGATTGATGGCTGAATCTCTGTCGTAATATAGGAAAGCCTGAGGATTATGATTGCATAATTATTCAACATTGTGCAAGTGTATTGTTTATAGTCATAAATTGCACATGTTCTGGTGTCGTGTCTGAACAATGGGCTGTGGATTGTGGAAACAAGTCCTCTGAATGATGTTTAATGAGCAAACTGATGAAGGTTAAGGAGAAGGAAAGTTGCTGACATTAATCCATCAAAATGAAAAATGACTTGTTGGCACGACTTAACACAAAGACACCAGACCGATGGTGGAAAATGCAACAAAGGTGAGTTATTCTGAAGCAGGTCCTAGATTGTTACTGTAGTATTGTTAGTAGAGCCCAAAATGAGCGAAATTCTGATATAATATTTAATTAATTATTTAATTCAACATGGCATAATTGTGTCCCTAATAATGGGATTGTTTCTGGTTTTCTGTGCATATGAAAATGCTATTTTTGGGGGTTACATTTTACAATATTTTCTAGCTGGTTAACATTATATAAATGATTATAAATAATAATGAAGATTTAAAAAAAATCTTTATCTAGTATCACACATGACTGTTGTAATTCAGGGTGAGGGAAGAACATAAAGGAAGTAGTTTTATTCCTGAATCTCCAGTCACGTTGTAAATCATGGTGATGGGAAGTAATTACATTTTTTATAATATAATATAATATTAGCTAAGGTTACACTTTATTTTAAGGTGTCATTGTTACAGTGTAGTGAAACGTACTGAGTAATATTAACTACATGTACTTACTATAGGGTTAGGATTTGGTTGAGGGTTAGTTGCATAAGTACATGTAACATATAACAAAGACACTGTAAAATAAAGTGTTACCTAATATTATTATCTAATATAATTAGTTCTGTCACATCGATTAATCGTGACTAATCGTGATTAATCGCATCTAACATAAAGGTTTGTAAATGTGTGTAAGTGTTTGTTTCTACACATCTTTACAAACTTTTATGTTAGATGTGATTAATTGCGATTCATCGATTTGACCGCACTAAATATAATATAATAATAAAAATATGTAGAATTGTGTCAATAATAATGGTTTTATTTAGCTGTTTTAGTGTTCATTTAGGTTGAAATGCACTGTTATACCCTGAAATTGTCAACTTTCTGTCCTGATGTGACTCTTTTGCCTTATGCATGCACACCAACCCCTGATTTGACTCTGTGTGTTTTGCCATCCAGAAGTGATTCAGCAAATGCAGCTCCATGTGACCGAGGCAGAGAGGAGGGCCACCGTCTACATGAGGAGATTCGCTAAGCTGCAGGCCGACCATCACAACCTCATCGGCGTCACGGCCGAGCTGGTGGATTCACTGGAGGCCACAGTCCGTGGGAAGATGGCAAGCAAACATCCAGTCCCACATTACGCCCACAAATCCAAAAAAATCTGATAATTGCACATGACAAAGCTAAAACGCTCAAGGGAATGTGGTTGATGTTTTGCAGATCTCCCCCGAGTACCTGCAGGGTGTGTGTATGCAGCTCTTCAACAGTCACATGAGACAGAGCGCTGCTCAGAGTGCAGACTTCACCAGACCCGGCACTGTGAGTCTCTGCGTTCTGTGCTTTTATGAAGAATCCTAGACGGGAATACAACTTTATATGCATTTGGCTACCAGAATGCAACAACTGTTCAAAATATTAGGCTTTGTTCACACTGCACCCAAAATCCAATTTGTTTTTCAAGCAAATGACTCTTTGTTCAGTCTGTACTACTTAAAGGAGTAGTTCACTTTAAAATGAAAATTACCCCATGATTTACTCACTTAAATTCACCCCGAATTCAAAATAAAGGTATAATAAATCATATTGTACCTAAAATCAGCTAATTCTAGAACTATGACTTTTCTATTCATGACATTTAAGCACATATTTTCCTCACAAATTGTCATTACCGTAATGCATAAAAATGTCATTCTCATTACCGTAATGCAAATTTTGAATTTGTGATTGTGGTATTATTAGCCACTTTAATTTAAAATAAAAATATTATTTACCATACAGTAATGAATCAACATTGAGAATACAAAACAGCCTCAACAATAAAATGTATGGATGCATTATGGTAATGTTTTTTTGTTTTGTTTTTTTACATTACGGGACAACTAAAAATCCTTAATTGTCATGAAAAGTAGTTACAAATGCAAAAATACAATTTTGTTGAGAGCACAGAAACCGAGAAATTTCCAATCTGCTCATGTCCGTCATGACATACCTTCTGCAACTCACTCAACCACCACAGTTATGAATTTGCATACATAACTAGGTTTTGTTTTCATTCCATCGCGCTGCTTTTCCATCGTTTTTCTATGTAAACATGCACTAGACTAGACAAACGTGTTTGACCGTTGTGGCTCACGTCTTTTGTGCAAAAAAAAAAAAAAATCCATTCTCATTACCATAATGCATCCAGAAATGTTATGTTTGATATTTTATATATTTTTTCAATGGTGATTCATTACCATAATAATATTTAAAAGCTTTTTTTTTTTTAAATCAGCATAAATTAATGTGACGAACACTACCAGAATATGTAATTTGTACATTTTTTGTCATCACATTACAGTAATGACAATAAGTTTATATGCATTACAGTAATGACAATTTGGAAGGAAATGAGCTTGATTATCATAAAGATAATGATTAACATTTGCAAAAATCATAGTAATTCTTAATTTTAACTGCAATATGATTTCGTCATATCTACCTTGACCAGGTGTTCTAAAAGATGTACCTTTCATTATTATTCATTCCACTACCCCGTTTCTTACATTTATTAAAAATAAAAGAAATAAAAAAGCACGTTCTGTGGTCACATTTACCGCTGTTCGGTGAATTTTCGCAGATGAAATCCAGTCATTTCAATAGTAATCCAAATGAAAGATTTCCACGCACAGATTCGCAAATGAAATTCCGCTATTGTGTTCGGATAGTGTGATTCATATTTGGTGTATTACCCCAAAATCAAAATAAAGATATAATCAATAATATTGTAACTAAAGTAAGCTTATTTTAAAACTCTTATGGCTTTTGCATTGTGACTATATGTGAAACAATTAAAGGAGCTGTATGTAAGAAATGTATTTCAATTAATCATACAATGGCCCTGATGTGTCACTAGACATTAAGAAATCATGTCCATTTCAAATACTTATATCACTGACAACAGGAGTACGGCCACGATATTGTCATTTAAAAAGTGAAGTTGCAGCCCTCAACTGATGTTGATGTTGTCATCTTGTGTTTTGGCCTGAAGCCCCACCCTCCACCTATCTACCAATCACGAAGTCAGTAGTGTTGCGGCATCCGGGTTGCCAGCTCTGCTCTAGTTACCACAGCTGCAGCTCGTCACGTTCCTGCTGGATCCTGCAGCCTATCTGGCAACCTCGAGTCAGGGGGGAGGGGGAGGGGATACACAGCTCTACAGTAATTTGAAAGTGATTGCAGTACCAATTTTGGCCACAATCTTACATACAGCTCCTTTAAGCACATTTATTTACAAACTGTCATTACCGTAATGCGTATTAAAAACTGACAGTTATAGATTGGGGTTAGTATTTGTCACTTGAATTAATGCTCATTTAAATAAAAACAATCTTTTTCATATTATTACAGTAATGAATTAGCATTGAGAATAATGGTAATTCGTTCGGTTTGTGTGAGCTGTAGTTCATACATCGCTACACTTTCAAAAACGGACGGTGAACCCTTTTGGCCAGCGAAATTACACTCAAAGTTTTCTAATGTGTCCGCACCTTTAGAGATACACTAATTGGAGCTTTTTTTTTTAAATATAGGCATATTGCTTTTATGGATATAGTCCATATATATATAAAAAAAAAATCAGCTTCTATCATGATTTAGTAACTTAAAGCAACTAAAGTTTTACATAACGTATGTGATGAGTATTTTTAATATTCGAAACCCGACATTTAATCCTAATCATAACACATAATCTGACATTCCCTAAAATGTTTGATAATTGACTTGCTTTTGGAGCTAGTGTGTTCTCAATCATATCTTCCTGTGTTTGTTTGTGTGTGTCTGACCATCTGTTCATGAAGGGATATTACTCTATGAGCCCTTATGATGATGGATATGTAAGTTGCTGAATGTTTCATCGTCGTACTTCCTGCCGTCCTGGTCTTGCCTGCGTAACCATTAGCCCTGCCTGTCTTCTTCCTCCTTTGTATTTCGTCCCAAAGCCTTCTAGTTCATCTAGTTTCCATTAGACCGCCTCAGTGTCATGGGACGTACATTCTTGTTCAGTCTAAGAATGATCCACCTTGTCCAACAGGCATGTACATTGTTGCTGAATCTCAAAGGAAGCACATAATACGGATTACTTTGAAGACTGCTTAGTATTTTTGTTTCACTTATTTGTCTCTAGTTCCCCAGAGTGGACAACAGTCCTATATATTGCTGGTCATATCATGAAAATATTTCCTTTTCCCTTTTGATATAATCTTTGACTTCCAGGCATCAGATAAGCAAATCTCATGTTCGCCTACGCTTGTCAACAGTGCCAGTTTTTGTGCTTCAGAAACATGATTCAACGGATTATGTTGAAGAAGGAAGGAGCAAGGACTTACAAATACACCAAAAATAAGTCTTATTATCTTTAAAAAAAGAATATCCGGTATATTTTTACAGAACAATAAGACAACAATATTTGGTGGTTGCAAAGCACCTTTAAGAAACGATTGTGATTCTTATAATGACACAATATGCCTGGTGCGGGGCATTGATCAAATATTAAGCAACATTTCAACACTGATAGTAATAACTGTTTCTTGAGCATCAAATCAGCATATTAAAATGATTTCTGAAGGATGACGTGACACTGAAGACTGGAGTAATGATGCTGAAATCCAGCTTTGACATTTACATTTGAACATATTCGAATAGTTATTTTAAATTGTACTAATATTTCACAATGTCACTGATTATACTGTACCGGTGTTTTTAACAAATAAATGCAGCCTCGGTGAGCGAAAGAGACTTCCTTCAACCAGGATACGCTCATTATGTGCAAACCCTCATTGTGAAATCCACATACGCAGACGACTGCAAATATCCTAAGCAAACACTTAATTAAGATTAGCCAAACTTGGGAATGTTCGCATGCATAACTTTGGCTATCCGGAATGTTCTCCTCAAACCAGTTTGAAGTCAAACGTGCATGAGATGAACAGCCCTCCTGAGAAGGATGTTTACATTTGACAGGGAAAGGTCCTAATGTACCTGGATACAGTCAAACAAACTAATTCCAGCAATCCTCATACTCCAAATAATGCTCACTCGACCCAGCTTCTCCTGGGTCGCTGTATCCCTCCCCCATGGCAAAGAGTCTAATTGCATCCTTAAGATGCCAGGATTTTCTCCGTTGGAAATTAGATCCCGCAGGTGCAGCGCTGTAATGATCTTGGGGAATTCCTTTCACTAACGCCCCGTCCTCCAACCTTTCAGGTCATTTATTTGTTTCGGGTCATTCATTGCATGTACTCGTAACCCCCCCGTACTGCATGCGGATAACTAGCGAAAAGTTCACTAACACACACACACACAGCCATTTTGTTTTTATTTGCAAGCCAATGTATCAACAAATAAAACGTTTTTTCTTCCTTTAGGCATCCTCACTGCTGCGGGCATCTGTCGCACCTCAGTAAGCTGCTTTTGTACTTTGAGATTGATCAAAGGATTGGTGGAAAGTGGTTTCGGGAGTAATCGAGGGGATATCTGCTAAACATTTGATAACTTGATGTAGATCAGGGGTTTTCACACTTTTTTTTTTGTTTTTATGCCAGACCCCTAAATATGGTGATCTGTTTTTATGGCCCCATTTGTAAAATATAATTTTTTTCAAGTATGAAGACTCACTTACATTGACAAAAATGTTATGTGGAATATAAAAAAGACTATTTTCTTCCCAGAATTAAATAATTTTCATTGACCCGAGGCAAGTATAAAATATTATTACGGTATATATAAATATATTAAGCTGTATTATATTATAAATATTTAATATTATATGTAAAAATGTACAGCTGTCGATACAATAATTGCATTCTAGACAGTCTTTACAGACACTCATTCTTTAAATGTTTTAAATTGATCTGAGTTAACTTTGGCATCTTGTACTTTCCAAGTCAGATCATTTAAATGTTATTCTTTAAATGCAATCCAACCAAACCTTGGAAACATGATCTTTTTTACACCACACAATTCCCAGCAGTAACCTGAAGAGCAAGGTGTCATGTGCCGATTTGTCATCTTTTTATTTCCTGCTCGCAGGAGACCCAAAGACGTGCCGTTGCTGCCTTCGCTCGACTACGAGAAGCTGAAGAAAGACCTGGTGAACGGATCAGATCGACTGAAGGCTTTGCTGCTTCAAGCTTTGCGCTGGGTAACTCAGAATTACTGTTTGTAAACGAAAAACATCAGCAAGGGTTGGGAATCTTATGTTATAAAATTTCAATTCCTCTTATCGATTCCTGTGTGTGCATTTTAATATGACTTTAAACCATTCAAGCGCAAGAAGACTCTTGTTTTGCAATAAGACTTAGAATAAATATGAATTATATCTACTTTTTTTTTTTTACCTTATTGGAATCGAAATTAGGAATCGATAAGAATCGGAATGGTTAAAATGCCAACGATAATCGGTCCTGATGTATCCCATAGTTTCTGCCACAATATCAGAATTACTACAGTTAGAGGTGTTTTCTAAGTCAAGGATCACTGTTAGTATTGCTCAAACATGATAAAATAGGTTCAAAAACAAGAAACCCAAGAAAATAATAGAGATTTTGGAGTGGGATCTTTTGACAACCACTGAAAATACCAGAGCAGCCGCACAGAAACATGCTAAGCACCACTGCAGCGTGTACATGGCCAAACTTTAAGCGCTAGTTCAGTTTTGTAAGGGATATTTTGTTGTTTTATCTCCATCTTTGAGGTATTTTGTGTCCTTTGGAATACGCATTGAGGTACACACATTGGCTTTCGCATTACATGCCAATTGTCTTGTGATTTTCCATTGGTCGGCAGAGGTTGACTCGATCTCTTCATGGTGAGCAAAGAGACACAATTCTACAGGCCTTCATCAGCAATGATCTTCTGGAGCGGTACAGTACCAAACAGGTACTTAACAAACTCCTTGTCACGTTTGTGCTAACAACATACTGCATACTGCATGTTGGATAATTTTACAATTCTAATAATATATATATAATAATATAATTTATCGAGGCGCTGATATCATGTATTTAGCTATTTTGACACATTGTTTCCAACACTTAACATCCAGTATGCTGCCTCAATGCAAATACGCAAAGATTTATTTTTTAATGCTTATCAATGTTCAATGTTGAACATTTCTCTTTCTGTTATGTTACTATAATTAAACAGAGTTCCTCATACATTTTTTTTTTTTTTAGCCCATTCTCTATATGGACTATATTTTAGGATAGATATTAGGGATGCACGATATATCGGCCACCAAATCGGTATCAGCTGATAAATGTTCATTTTTAATGTTATCATTATCGGCCCAATAAGAAAATGTATTATTTGATGATAAATAATAATAATAAATAATGTATTATTTCCTTCAGTGGACACATTTCAGATGCACACTGTTCAACATGATGTTTTTGAATTGCTTGAAATATGATTGGAATCACTTCAAAAAGGAAAATATAGTTAAGTGCAACGCAAGTCTGTCATATAGGCTACATAAAATTATTAATGATAACATTATAATTGTGTGCTTGGGACATGGATTTTAAGGGTGAGACTTTTGTTTTTGTATTCAGGCTCTCAAAAATAATATAATAATTTGGATTTAGATTTATCGGCCAATATATCGGTTATCGGCTTTCAAATATAAAGAATAATCGGTTATCGGTATCGGCCAAAATGTTCATATCGGTGCATCCCTAGATAGTATGCAAAATCAGTTTTGAAAATAGTCCCCTTTTAATCTACCCATCATTCCAATGTATTCAAATTGCATTTCGATTGAAAACATTAATTTTCATACGTGATTGCTTTTGGGAGTTCACGATGAGGACAGTTATGAAACTGACAATTCAAACGGTCAAACTAATTCAAATAAAGTGTGTGCTGTCTATGACTTGCTTCTCTTCTAAAATGTGTCATCTCAGGTATGTATGATGAATGTGGATGATCAGGTTTTAGCAGTTAACGTGACTCGACTAATTTCCAATCAATGTCATCAAGTTCCTTGTGGGACTATATAGTCAGCTGTCTTCTGGTCTTTGTGCAGGCTGGAAGATAATATCTCTTGTTACTTTAATCCAGAATAAATGAAATTGTCCTTTGCAATCAACACATTGTACCAAGAGTAACTTTTTACATAACCGTTTTGTGTACTTTGCAGAAAACCGTTCTTCATCTAATAAAATCCAAAAATGAGATTGTCAGACAGTATATGGCAAGACTCATCAATGCCTTTGCCTCATTGTGTGATGGTAAGTGAAAACTATTTTTTTTTTTTTTGTTCCTTAAGCAAACAAGGACCCACCAATCATAAATGCATACATCCCTTCATCGCTCTAGGTGGCGCTATAATGAGCAAAGTTGTTATGTACCTCCAGAACTGTATGGGCTAGAATAAAAAATCTCCCCCTGAATCATTTGAGCTAACCTAACCTTTTTTCTGGTGGAAAAAAAAAACGTTTTCGAACTTCACCAATTTTCAATCCGCTTTGGTACTGTTACAATGTTGGTAGTCTATGTAAATGAACAATGTTTACTCGTTCTCCGTGTTACCTGGACCTAAAAAATCACCTTTATATGTCGGCAAAGGGCTAGACACTTGACTACAGATTATACTTCCACATTTTTGTATCCCCGCCCACAGACGGTTGATTTGACAGATTATTAACAGAACATTTATTGTAAAAGTAGGTTTATCACTGAAAATAAACTGCATTATTGTAAAAATAGAACAATATGAAAACATTCATTATTATAGTTAACATTATTGTGACTAAAAGTTTGCTAAGGAGTATTTCCTTCTCAAGAAAGCCGGTATTTGACTCTGGTCAAGCGTATCCAATAGGAGCAGACTGGGAGTGGTCTTGGACAACAGCATGCCCAGTGCATTATGGGTGTCTATCACCTATTTGGCAAAAGCGAAGACAACAGCCTTTTTTCTGTTTTCTCTAATCCGGTAGCACGATTTCAGTTTTTTGTTTCGCCATTCTAGCGCATAGCCAAGTTTTATTGAAAGCCCATTTTGAGAATGGTGAATTACCCTTATAAGGTATGGTCACATTTACTGTTGTTTGGTCAAATTTCCACAGGCTAAATGTAGTCATTTCAATAGGAATGCACATAATTGCGAATCACACGCTAGAATTCTCTGTGTTCAAGTTGGTCACGCAGATTCGTTGCTTTGATCGCTACTCTACATTCTTGTGTTGATGGATATCACTATTCACAATAGGAAATTGACCTTTTTTCCCACCAGTATGTTTTTTGGCCCTGGCCCAAACAGATTAAAGTAAAATGTAAAATCATTTCTGGTTCTCAATTCTCAACATTTTTGGTTCAACATATTTACAATGGCAATTGTATAAATTGTCTATACACCTCTGTGTTTAGTTCTGAAACGTGTTTATTGTCGTCTTATGGCTTGTTGCACTCCCAGGGCGCATGTATCTGTCTCAGATACCCTCTTTACTGAGGTTTCTGCTTGACTGTCTGAAGAATGAAGAGAAAGAGTCTGTAACTCGAGAAAACGTGCTTGCAGCGCTGCAGAAACTCAGCCTCAGGTGGGTCATCTGTTAATATAAATGGTAATAAAGTAATCAGACTGTAATAATATGTTTTCAATTCAATTCAATTTCTGCGAGTTATAAGAGATGGTCCTCACTGCAGAACACGAAATCCAGATCCAACTCCTCCCACCTTACATATACCTAATCCTATCCATCTCCACCCCCTGATCCCTAACCCCACCCCTAATCCTACCCATCTCCACCCCCTGATCCCTAACCCCACCCCTAATCCTACCCATCTCCACCCCCTGATCCCTAACCCCACCCCTAATCCGGCCCATCTCCGCCCCTGATCCCTAACCCCACCCCTAATCCGGCCCATCTCCACCCCCTGATCCCTAACCCCACCCCTAAACCTACCCATCTCCACCCCCTGATCCCTAACCCCACCCCTAATCCTGCCCATCTCCGCCCCCTGATCCCTAACCCCACCCCTAATCCGGCCCATCTCCGCCCCTGATCCCTAACCCCACCCCTAAACCTACCCATCTCCACCCCCTGATCCCTAACCCCACCCCTAATCCTGCCCATCTCCACCCCCTGATCCCTAACCCCACCCCTAATCCGGCCCATCTCCGCCCCCTGATCCCTAACCCCACCCCTAATCCTGCCCATCTCCGCCCCCTGATCCCTAACCCCACCCCTAATCCGGCCCATCTCCACCCCTGATCCCTAACCCCACCCCTAAACCTACCCATCTCCAACCCTTGATCCCTAACCCCACCCCTAATCCGGCCCATCTCCGCCCCCTGATCCCTAACCCCACCCCTAATCCTGCCCATCTCCGCCCCCTGATCCCTAACCCCACCCCTAATCCGGCCCATCTCCGCCCCTGATCCCTAACCCCACCCCTAAACCTACCCATCTCCACCCCCTGATCCCTAACCCCACCCCTAATCCTACCCATCTCCGCCCCCTGATCCCTAACCCCACTCCTAATCCTGCCCATCTCCACCCCCTGATCCCTAACCCCACCCCTAATCCTACCCATCTCCGCCCCCTGATCCCTAACCCCACCCCTAATCCTGCCCATCTCCACCCCCTGATCCCTTACCCCACCCCTAATCCTGCCCATCTCCGCCCCCTGATCCCTAACGCCAGCCCTAATCCTACCCATCTCCACCCCTTAGATCTGGATCCAACTCCGCCCTCTCGTGTACTGCAATGAGGTGCTACTGAGTTATAACGCAATTCTGACTTTTTTCTTAGAATTGTGAGATATAAACTTGCAATTGCAAGGGGGAAAAAGCATTTTTGAATTGTCAGATATAAAGCCGCAGGTGCCTATTTTTTATTCCGTGGCGGAAACAAGCTTCAGTACCAAACACCCAATGGCTTTTTTTTTTTTTTACATGTATGTGATATTGTCAAGTCATAGTTTCAACAGGAAATACTTCCAGTGATTTCATGGGGTCTTTACAAAAATATATGTTATTATTTATTATATATCATATTAAACTCCTAAAAGCTGCTCAGTGTGTGTGTGTATGTTCTGCTGTGAGCAGGCGAGCGCAACAGTCTGCTATGATCGGAGATGGTCTGATAGGCTGGTTGGTCAAAGAGCTCCACGACTCCGACTGTCTATCCGACTACACACTTGAATACGCCATCTCCCTCCTCATGAACCTCTGCCTGCGCACTCAAGGTGACTCAATGAGTTACTAATCAATGGCCATAGCAAAGACATAAAGATGCGTATAAACCATTGTATTGTGTTCACCATCCTTTGTTTAGACTTTTATTTGCATTGCTTATTTTAGCAAATCAATGGTTACTTTATGTTTCAGGAAAGGAGAAGTGCGCGGAGGAGGCCAAGCACGTCCTGAAAGTGCTGACGGAGCTCTTGGGACATGAGAACCATGAGGTAAATTGGTAATTGCTCATCCGCTATCCACAAACAAGGCGTGTTATTTGTGCTTGTTCTCCCCTTACAGCCTTCGTGATGACTGAAACTGAAGGCGTAAATCAGCTTAGTCCTTTTTATGTCAACCAGTTCTCAAATAAGAGGGCTTTTGTCAACTTTGGATTAAAAAGTTTGCCCTGCAAGTGTACCATGAACGATTCACTCCCTTTTTAAAACTTTAGAAGTGGAGAGTCAAGCCTACAATTTAAATTATATTCAGAAATGAATTTGCTCACCAGCCTCAAAAATTCATTGCAATATTGAAACTTAATAGTATTAATTGAATAACTATTTTATATATATATATATATATGTTACAACAAAAAATATTGTATTTGTAGTTTTTTCAACATTAGCTGTGGTTCAAACATACACTATATAATATACATTATATACTTTTATTTATTTTTTCCAACATTTTTGACTCATTGTGTAATAAATATAGTAGAATAATAGAATATTAAAAGACATATATAATAATATGTCATCGATTTTCCTTTAATATCCAGTCCAGTTCACCCATTAAATTAAAAATAGGCACTATTTATAAGTAAAGTCGTAGTGTTTTATACAATACAAATTGTTTCGAAGCAGCTTTACAGTAATAAACAGTAATAAAAATGTCTCAAAATTCCTCAGTTATGCTCTACAGAAAACAGTAGTGTCATTCATTATTCAGCTCAGTTTAGTTGATCCAAACCAGTTGAATGACAGTGTAAATGTTGCAAAGTTCATCAATTATGAAGCAAAGTGTAATAATTGTAAAAATTGTCCACAAAACGCATTTCAAGCTTTTTTGATTTTTGAGATGTCTCAAAATGTTCAAATGTTCATTGCATATTTGTTTTCTTGTGTGTAAATGTAGATACGGTACTATGTGAATGGAGCTTTATACAGCATCCTGTCCATGCCAGAGATACGAGAGGAAGCGAAACAGATGGTACGTGTTTAATCACTGTTCATTCATACTTGAGTAATAAAATTCCCATTCATTATCATCACTTTAGCGATAACATTCAAACCTTTCAAAGTAAACAGTGATTTGTGCCCATGTAGACGTCACAGGTGAGAAGGGACTTGATACTACTACACTACCCATTATCCTTAAGTGAAATCCACCAATCAGAAAAGTCACTGTCAAACTGATTTTTTCTTTCTTTTTTTAATTGTCTATGGTAAAAATGAATAAGAAAATCCTGCTAGAACCAAGGCTGCTAAAACAGTGAGTGGTCACTGTTGTGCTCAATAGCTACTTCACAGAATACAAATAATGTGAGTATTTTGTTATTGCATCTAGAGTTTGGAAGAGACCCTATGCTGTTACAGTAAAGAAGAAAACCCTGAACTCAACAGACAAATCGAATTCATCATCAAACTGCTTAACTCGGGTAAGACAAAATAAAGCCGATCACCTCAACAATGTTCACTTAAAAACAAAAAATCTGTCCTCATCCTCCTCAACCCATGTAACGTTTTTCTTCTGTGGAACACAAAAAGTGTCCACCGTTTTCAGTATAATAAAGTTAACGAGGACTGGGTTATCAGCTTCAAAAGGGACGGAAAACGCCATAAATGCATCATAAACTCAGCCCATGTGACATGGAATAAAGGATATGAGTTATTTGGACTACTTTCATAATGCTTTCTATGATGCACTTTCAACTATTAATATGTTGTGTTCCATGGGTGTCATACGGGTTTAGATGGGACAGATGGGTTTCCATATTTTTTTCCATAATTTCAGTGATTCTTTTGCCTTCACTCATAATTCTGTCGTACACAGCGGACATTCCTGAGCATGAACCTGAGTCGGGCGATGAAGAGGATGATGACGACGACGACGATGACGAGGTACAGTAATTCACTTTGATCTGGTCTTCTGAGAAAGTTTATTGCTCAACGCGACTTCTGGCTTCCTATAATCTACAGGAAAGGCTATCACTGCTATTTGCATTTTATTGGTATTGGCGGTGTTCATATGATTTACTGCTTAGTCACTTGATCTGTCTGTAATTCTTTAATCTTGTTAACAGGAAGATGTTATGGAGGCAGACCTAGATAAAGAGGAAGTCCTGCAGTCTCAGCCAAAAGAGCTCAGTGGAGAGTCTTTACTCACAACCGAGTATCTTGGGGTAAAACATCACACTACATTTATATGACAATAGAAACCAAACCCAGGCTAAGAACTTCACACACAAGGGTCTTGTTGGTCAAGAGTCAGGACCCTTAAATGATAAATATACACTCACCTAAAGGATTATTAGGAACACCTGTTCAATTTCTCATTAATGCAATTATCTAATCAACCAATCACATGGCAGTTGCTTCAATGCATTTAGGGGTGTGGTCCTGGTCAAGACAATCTCCTGAACTCCAAACTGAATGTCAGAATGGGAAAGAAAGGTGATTTAAGCAATTTTGAGCGTGGCATGGTTGTTGGTGCCAGACGGGCTGGTCTGAGTATTTCACAATCTGCTCAGTTACTGGGATTTCCACACACAACCATTTCTAGGGTTTACAAAGAATGGTGTGAAAAGGGAAAAACATCCAGTATGTGGCAGTCCTGTGGGCGAAAATGCCTTGTTGATGCTAGAGGTCAGAGGAGAATGGGCCGACTGATTCAAGCTGATAGAAGAGCAACTTTGACTGAAATAACCACTCGTTACAACCGAGGTATGCAGCAAAGCATTTGTGAAGCCACAACACGCACAACCTTGAGGCGGATGGGCTACAACAGCAGAAGACCCCACCGGGTACCACTCATCTCCACTACAAATAGGAAAAAGAGGCTACAATTTGCAAGAGCTCACCAAAATTGGACAGTTGAAGACTGGAAAAATGTTGCCTGGTCTGATGAGTCTCGATTTCTGTTGAGACATTCAGATGGTAGAGTCAGAATTTGGCGTAAACAGAATGAGAACATGGAACCATCATGCCTTGTTACCACTGTGCAGGCTGGTGGTGGTGGTGTAATGGTGTGGGGGATGTTTTCTTGGCTCACTTTAGGCCCCCTAGTGCCAATTGGGCATCGTTTAAATGCCACGGCCTACCTGAGCATTGTTTCTGACCATGTCCATCCCTTTATGGCCACCATGTACCCATTCTCTGATGGCTACTTCCAGCAGGATAATGCACCATGTCACAAAGCTCTAATCATTTCAAATTGGTTTCTTGAACATGACAATGAGTTCACTGTACTAAAATGGCCCCCACAGTCACCAGATCTCAACCCAATAGAGCATCTTTGGGATGTGGTGGAACGGGAGCTTCGTGCCCTGGATGTGCATCCCACAAATCTCCATCAACTGCAAACCAACGTTTTTGTCATTAATTAAATCCCTCGCAAAGGAAACAACATTAAAGATATAAAAAAATCTGAAAGCAGGTACACATCTTTAGTGACTTTACAGCAGCAATTCATAGTTCACTGCTCTATTACCAAACTCCATCGCACACCTGCAGGTGCGCAGAAAAAGAGGTAGGTCGACAAATCTGCAAATAAGGAACTCCCGCACACTATCAGTACTTGCAAGTAATATAAAAAAATTGTAATACATTTTTTTTATATTACTTGCAAGTACTGCCGGAGTTCCTTATTTGTAGTTCACTGCTCTAACATAAACTAAAGGCCCTGATATACTTTGAGTGTAAATGAAGAATTCAGTTCAATTCATTCCACATTTATTTGTATAGCGCTTTTCACAATACACATCGTTTCAAAGCAGCTTTACAGAAAATGCATGAGTCCACATTGCAATTTACAGTGATCTGCTATCAGAAGTGACTGTGTCCAAGTTATGTATTTCAGAAATGTACATATACATATCACACAGTTAGCTAGCAATGTATTGAAGGCGGAAAACAATGAGCTCATTGAAGTAATGAATACAACAAATGATTATGACATTTAGAAAAATGTAGCATTGGTGCGTGTTGATTCAGAGTTTGCTTCATCTGAAGTCTTCGCAGGAGTTGGGTCGTCTCTCCACAGGTGTTGGGCATCTGAGCTCTTCATAATAGACTGGATCCAAACTGGAGCTGACAAACTCTAGGTGCCTCAGGATGGGCATCCCGAGATAAAACAGAGAAGCAAATGGAAAATAATTAGCGTAGCTGCTGTTCGTAACATTAAGCATACATATAACTGTATACGGTTATATGAATGCTAGGCTAAAGAGATGCGTCTTTAATCTAGATTTGGGAGAGTGAGTCTGAGCCCTGAACATTATCAGGAAGGCTATTCCAAAGTTTAGGAGCCAAATGTGAAAACTCTCACCCTCCCTTAGTGGACTTAGATCTCCTATACTACCAGAAGCCCAGAGTTTTGAGACCTTAGAGAGCGAGATGGATTGTAGCGCAGTTAAATACAAATGAGCTAGACCATTTAGGGCTTTATAGGTCAGTAATAGTACTCTGTAATTGATACGGAACTTAATAGGTAACCAGTGTAGAGATGATAAAATTGGTGTTATATGATCATATTGTATTGACATGTTAAAAACTTAAGCAGGTGCATTTTGGACTAACTGTAGCTTGTTTATTGCGTTAATAATGCGCTAGTAATGCATTACAGTAATCTAGTCTCGAGGTCATGAACGCATGAACTAACTTTTCCGCATCAGAAACACATAGCATGTTTCGGAGGATAGCGATCTTTCTGAGGTGAAAGGAGGCTCTTTTTGTAACATATGAAATATGATTTTCGAAAGACAGGTTGCTGTCTAATATAACGCCCAGGTCTTTAACTGTAGAGGATGAAGTTACACTACATCCTTCCAAATGCAAATTGTATTCTAAGAGATTCTGTGTACAGGTTTTAGGTCCAATAAGTAATACCTCAGTCTTATCTGAATTTAATAGAAGAAAATTACAGGTCATCCAATATTGTATATCTTTAACACACTCTTGTCAACTTAGCTAATTTAGAGAATTCATCGGGTCGTGATGAATTCCATGTTTTCTTAAAATATTACCAAGTGGCAGCATATATATTGAAAATAGCAGAGGACCTAACACAGATCCTTGCGGCACTCCATAATTTACTGACATTATCTTGGATTTTTCCCCATTTAAATAGACAAAATGGTAACGTCTGATAGGTACGATCTAAACCACCTCAATGCCTGTCTCCATTTGCGCTCTAGATTACGAGTTTCTCTCTTGATAGCATTGGTAATACTGTTGTACCACGGTGCAATCTGATCAACGGTTTCTAACTAGAGAAAATGGTGCAAAACCTGCTAGTCATTTCCACTAGTTCATTTGTGTAGAAGCTAAAACAGATCAGGCAGGTTATTTGTCAATCTATCGATAGTATTTAGGAGAATTGTTCTACCTGGACGATAACACGGCGCAATATGACAAATATCAGCAGTACACAGTATGCACGTTACAAGGTAGTGATCAGTAACATCATCACTTTGAATATCTATATCAGTAGGATTGGTTCCATGCAATATAATTAAATCTAGTGTATGATTAAAACGATGATTAGTGACGGTTTTGCTTTTCGTTTTCCCTAAGTAGTTAAGTAAATCTGTAAACACAGCCCCCAACGCATCATTTTTATTATGTACGTGAATGTTAAAATCTCAGATTGAAAATCCGCAAACTCTTTTAGGAATTCAACATATTCACGGTAGCCAAAGCAAAAGATGAACTGGTGCATGTACATTATTAATTGAGAAACTGTGGTTTTGTGATTTAATTTGATATGTATCAGCTGTATTCTGTGTGATAAGTGTCTCTCTGGTGCTTTGTAGATAATGACCAACATGGTGAAGATGAAGAGAAGATCCTATCCTGCATCATCTCACAGCATAGACGAGCCCCTCCAGCGGCCGGTTACGCCCAGTTCTCACAAAAACTCCATGTAAGAACCTCATTCTGAACGCCTGAGCATAACAAGACGGATATTCGGTGTGAAAATTCGCTGCGATAAACATCAATTTGAATCGACGGCTGTTAATGCGTCTGTTCAGACCGACTCAATTAGTAACAGGGTTGAGTACTTGCTCTTCTTTGATCATTTTGAAAACAGGACTGAGAATTTGATAGTTTTTTATTACTTTGGTAGTGGTTGAATGTTTGATCACTTATGATAGCTTTGGTAACAGTATTCATTTTAATACATTTTAATAACAAGGTTGACCTTAACGGTCCCACTTTATATTAAGTGGCCCTAATACCTGTGAACTTACATAACTACATGTGTACATAGTTTATTTTCAAATGGTGACGCTATCATGAAATTTGGTACAAATATTCTTCAAGGAACATTCTCATGGAAAAAGGTGTGTGCCATTCAAAAATTCAAGATGGCGACCATTTTCAAGATGGCCACAATTTGGCCACTGCAGGTAGTAAAATATGCAGGCGAGAATGGAAATCAAGCAGCAGAAAGAAAGTGTGGAGTGAGTGAGCAACTTGTAAGGGACTTGCGAAAAGCAGAGGTTACTCTAAAGAGAGTTGCACACCGGACGAGAAGCGCAGCGCCACATCTTTAAAATTCGAACACATTCTTCTCTATGAGTGTAGACACACCAGAGGCGCCATTCTGCGTCTGTCCGCGGCGCCCAGCAACGACTCAGGACCTTGTTCAAAATCCTGCCGCGCCATTTACATAGTTTTATATTAAATTTACATTTATTTGTCTCAAATGGTCGTTATGTATATACTGACTTCACCCTGTGCTGCAATATACATTTAGTTTTACATTAATTTACATAAATCAGCTGCTTGAATGAAAATTGCTGATGTTATCGGATTTTCGGATGATATTCTCAATTCATTCAGTTAACGTACGCCCTGAGGTAAAGTGTTCAGACTTCAGACTCAGCAACGATTGTATTTAATTGTACAGTACAATAACATAGTACAGGCATTATCTTAATTCCATAATGTCCGTAAACATAATAATATTGCTGGCCATAAACTGAGAAAGTGCGCGTCCGGTGTGCGATACCCGAGTTGTCCTAGTCGCGTCGCTTCTCGTCCGGTGTGCGACTTTTAATGAAGAAAACTAAGAAAGCTAATCGCGGGCTGAAAGCAAGATGGCCACAGCTGGAGGAACGAGTCCACAGATGTGTGCTTGAACAGCAAATAAATAAATGCGACTTATAGTCCAGTGCGACTTATATAGTTGTTTTTTTCCTCTTCATGACGCATTTTTTGACTGATGCGACTTATAGGCCGGAAAATACGGTAACTACAGTGTAAGTACACATTGGTACATAGTATCTACAGCTGTAATATTTGTGTAACTACACATACAACCCACGGAATGGTATGTGTAAGTATCTGTAACAGGAATTATGTAACTACAACAATATGTATTTACACAAGTTGTTCCACTTCCACACGTCTTAAATACTGCAGTTACCAGTTTGGATATAAATGCATTTCATTTCCAACCATGTATGTATGTTAAAAGCAGATCTCCTTTCACAGTGGCAGAGTTTCTCTTTTTTTATTATAGACAGTCTAAAGGACCCTGTGCTGTTCTAGTGTTGTCACTAGATGTGCTGTCATTTGTGCAGTTACACAGATATTACAGCTGTAGATTACTATGATACCTATGATATGTAATTAAATACTATGTACACATGTAGTTACCATGTAAGTTCACAGGTATTAGGGCCACTTAATATAAAGTGGGACCGAATTGGTCATTTAAGAACTTTTCTAACAGGGTTGAATGTTTAATAACTTTGGAAACAGGGTTGAAGATCAAACATTCAAGTTTGGTTATTATAATAATTTTTGCTAACAGAGTTGAATTATTAATCGTTTTGATAACTTTGGAAAACAGGGTTGGATACTTGAACTTGTCAATTGTGGTCACCATCAGGGATTTGTTCCTTGCTTTAAAAAAAGTAGTTCTGATTTGTTTTCTGTCGCACTGCGTAGAAAAATTGGCCAATTAATACGATTTACGCTTTTGATCACATGCCCAGAACCGCTGCTGTTACATAAACAATATAAACAATATTTTGCTAATGACAGTGAAGTGTTGCAGCGCTTTCTGTACCTGATGGACAGGGGTATTTTGGCTTTTCTATAAGCGCCACCCAACAGTCAGAGAGTGAATTTGGATTCTGATATTCTTTTACGCATTAAAAGACGCAAAATATAACAGAATTTTTGTGCCGAACATCCGTGTTGGTATGAACAGGCCTTGAGTCGGTAACACAAGTACACAAATTTGCGACTTTAATGCCATCTTGGATCTATAAAATTGAGTCTACCACTACTTAAAAGGAATTTCACACCTTTTTTTATTTTTAAATGAAGTATTTCACATTGATATTTGAATCATTCAGAAATCTTCCTCTGTCCATCACAAATCTAATGAATTTTACAAACTCTAAAATTATGTGTGCAATTTTAACGCACGCCCAGATGTGGTTCTTGTGCATGTCGTGTTACTTTAATAAGTTCATGTGTACTATGCTTCCTAGTTGGTATTTGGTCCACAAATAGTTATTTTACCAATTGTTGTCATTGGAGGCGTTTAATAGATTGTAATAGATGATCATACAGAATACCACAAACATTGTGACTCAGCTTAATTGCAAATGTGTCTATATTCACCTATGGGCTTGTCGTCAATGAGGGAGAAGTCAATAGTTCTGCCCTCAAGTCAAATAGCGTGTCAATGTGCAAGCAGGATATACAAGATTCCCTCCTCAGTTGGATATATCCTCATTGTTTCTACTGAATGAAGCATATGGATCAGTGATGGGAACAATCACTTACAATTGGTCCGTGATATTGACGACTGTCAATGTTTTGACCTTGCTGTTTGGAAAAATAGTGTGAATGAAAAAAACACGACATTGCATTTATCAGTGCGTGTTTTTTAAGATAATATTTACTACCATCTCCAAAGGCCGCTTGGAGTAGACCAAGTTAAGAATGATTTGTGAAGGATCATGTGACACTGAAGACTGGAGTAATGATATAACAGAAATAAACTACATTTTAAAATATATTAAAATATAACAGTTATTTAAATTTTAATAACATTTTACAATATTACTGTTTTTACTGTATTTTTGATCAAATAAATTCAGCTTTGGTGAGCAGAAGAGACTTCTTTCAAAAACAGTAAAATATCGTAATTATTCCAATCTTTTGACCGCCAGTATATTTAATTCTGTTAATTTATAAGCACCAATGTTTGCAAACAATGCATAGTATAAACAATATTAACCTTCATACACTACCAGTCAAAAGTTTTGGATCGGTAAGATTTTAAAAGAAGAAAAAAAATTACAACAAAAACAGTAATATTGTTAAATATTATGACAATGTAAAATAACTGTTTTCTATTTGAATATATTTTAACATGTAATTTATTCCTGTGATCAAAGCTGTATTTCAGCATCATTACTCCAGTCTTCAGTGTCACATGATCCTTCAGAAATCACTCTAATATGCTGATTTACTGATAAAAAAAAAACATTCATTATTATCAACGTTGAAAACAGTTGTGTACAATTTATTTCAGGATTTATTGATGAATAGAAAGTTCAAAAGAACAGCATTCATTTGAAATTCTTTTTTTATATATATATATATATATATATATTTGTATTTTCAATCAAATAAAGGCAGTGTCAGGTGTTGTGCAGGATGCAGAAGACGAGGACGAGAGGAACTGAATTTAGATGCTTTATTTACACAGTTTACAGAGATGAAGGGAAACATTCCAGGACTTCATCTCACACAACTAAACAAAGACGACGACCGACAAAGACAAACTGAACTGAAGCAAACTAAATACAGAGACTAATGAACCATAATGATGTGAAGACAGGTGACACAGATGATGATAACGAGGGACAGGCTGATAAGTGAGGGAGTGAATACAGGTGTGGAGACGAGGAGGATTCTGGGAAGTGTAGTGAAGAGACAAAGACAGACTAGTGCAGACGAAGACTGTGACATTACACCCCCCTCCCGGTAGGCGTGTCCTCACGCCGTAGAACAGGGGTGGGAGGGTGGGCATCCTGGAGTCAGTGACGGGAAGGCGGGCCGGGTGCAGCAGGATGGACTCCAGGATGGGCCAGGCGGCCATGGCGGAGCAGGACGTGGCCAGGGCGGAGCCAAGGGGGTAATCCATCGACCGGAAGTTGAAGCCGGCCGGGTGCCGCCATGTTGTAGCAGAACTTCACTTGTGTTAGCATTTCCATTGACTCCCATTCATTTTTGCGTCACTTTGACAGTGAATAACTTTACATCTGAGGCGTTTAAAGACTCCATTTGTCCATTATTTATTTCTAAAGAAACACGACAATGTATAAAGGGCTCCATTACCTTCTATGTTACACTATGGCCCCGTAGAAACAGATTTAGTAAAAATAGGCTAACGATTGCGTCATAACCACTCGACTCTCTGTCGCGCTGTACAGAAGTTACCGTACAGACAGGAGGAGAAGCTCGCAGGCAATCGGGGGGACGTCCCGTCAAGGGAGAAGCCCATAGATAATGAGTCCATAAAAGCAACGGAATTCTTACTCCTGCTCACTCACGCCAAAGAACTCTTTGCTCAAGTTCCCCGTCTCTGCAAGATTAACGTTGGCAGTTTTCACGCACAGCTACTAGAAGATTAACGTCTGTCAGACAGGTTGCTCACGTCATCAAGCTTAGTTTGAGTCGGTCTGAGTCTGCGCGTCAGGAACGGAAGTTCTCAAAAATCGCTAAAAGTGGGCTTCAACTGTCTCAACTGAGTTCCAATGAGATCGCTCTGTCCATTTCTTTTACTGTCTATGGGCGGAGCACACGAATCCTCGGGCGTCCAGGGCGGAGCTGTTGGACCCTCGGGCGACCACAGCGGTTAGGACCCTTCGGGCGGCCACGGCGGTGAGGACCCTTCGGGCGGCCACGGCGGTGAGGACCCGTCGGGCGGCCACGGCGGTGAGGACCCGTCGGGCGGCCACGGCGGTGAGGACCCTTCGGGCGGCCACGGCGGTGAGGACCCTTCGGGCGGCCACGGCGGTGAGGACCCGTCGGGCGGCCACGGCGGTGAGGACCCTTCGGGCGGCCACGGCGGTGAGGACCCTTCGGGCGGCCACGGCGGTGAGGACCCTTCGGGCGGCCGTGGACCCTTGGACGGCCGGGACGAAGACATATGGCCCCCCCCCCTCCAAAAAAATACTTGGGGTGAGTGCCCGAATTAGGGACAGGCTCAGGAACCGACACCGGCTCAGGAACCGACACCGGCTCAGGCTCAACAGCCACTAGAACAGTAACAGCCACAAAGACAGACACTGGCTCAGGCACTGGAAGAGTCTCTGGCTGGGCAGACGAGACTTGAACAGTCTCTGGCTGGGCAGACGTGACATGCATAGTCTTTGGCTGGGCAGACGGGACGTGAACAGTCTCTGCGTGCCTGACGTACTCCAGCAGTGAAGAGGGCTTGATGCTGGATGGAACCAGCGGTGAAGAGGGATTAAAACACTGGACTGGACGGTCTCTGGCTGGACGGTCTCTGGCTGGACGGTCTCTGGCTGGGACGGAACCAGCGGGGAAGACTCGGCTGGGCTGGACGGAACCAGCGGTGAAGAGGGCTTAGAACGGGCGGTACTGACCATGAACGGGGAGCCAAACCAACTTAAAATCGCCTCGAGATACCGTTCAATGGTCTCACCGGGACCTCCGGGTGGAATCAGTGCATAAAATTGTGGATCCAAACCAATCCAAAATAGATCCATCAACTGCTGATCGGTAAGGGAGGTTAGATGGCTATACTTAATAAAGTCCTCAATGTAAGATTCAATCTTACGGCCATTTTGGTTGAGAGAGCACAACAAGAATCCCGCTTTGTCCATCTTTTGTTAGGTCGGTCGTTCTGTCAGGCGTTGTGCAGGATGCAGAAGACGAGGACGAGAGGAACTCAATTTAGATGCTTTATTTACACATATAGTTTACATAGATGAAGGGAAACATTCCAGGACTTCAGCTCACACAACTAAACAAAGACGACGACCGACAAAGACAAACTGAACTGAAGCAAACTAAATACAGAGACTAATGAACCATAATGATGTGAAGACAGGTGACACAGATGATGATAACGAGGGACAGGCTGATAAGTGAGGGAGTGAATACAGGTGTGGAGACGAGGAGGATTCTGGGAACTGTAGTGAAGAAACAAAGACAGACTGGTGCAGACGAAGACTGTGACAGGCAGGCTTGGTGAACAGAAGACACTTTTAAAAACATTAAAAATCTTACCGATCCAAAAACTTTTGACTGGATGTGTATAATTTCTAAATACAATTTTGGAAGCATGTCAAATTCCAAACGTCTGTGACAATAATTTTGTTGGACTGAACAGAAATCAAATTGCTGTTAATCTATTAATTGAATTTCCCAACTTTGTCAGCATTTTCAGTGTTGCATCAATTAAATTACAACACTTTTTTTGACTCAAATACTGAAGTCTATATGAACTGAATTTTTGTCTGCACAATCTTATTATGCTACTCATTTACACTGCCATGTTGGACATGTAAATGTTGATTTGTGCATGTGAAGACTTCAGAAGTCCGTCTAATGTTTTTCTTTAATATTAACATTTTTATCAGGCTCCCATGTATAGGTTTCTACCTAAGTATGGACATTTCTGAACGGCCTGAGGCTGGAATTTAGCGAGTTTGAAGTGAAAGTATTTGATGAACGTATACTATGTGCGGAGAGCATTCACTCAATATTATTATCTCATTTTTGACACAGGTGGCTTATAGAGGCTTTTGCATCGGAGGTCTTCATGTGTGTGTGTATGTGTGTTTGCCTATGCAGAGCTGGTGGGGACGGAGCGTACCCCGTTACCCGACTGAGAAGTGAAGAAAGCCCCGCCCACTCTCGCTTCAGTTCCCGCCCCCCCACTCGCACCGGCAGTCGGCCCAGCACTGCTGAATCCATGCACCAGACACTGGGTACGTGTGCCGACCACTGACATATATATTACATATGTGCTCCAGCATGTCTTGTGTTATTTTACTATGTTTTTGTATTGTTTTTTCTCTGAATAAAAAATACCTTATGTTTAATTTCCATGATTCAGTTTTTCATGGATGCGTTCCAAATGCCCAGGTTTGTCTGAGAATGATACCATCTAAGCACGACATCAGACATGCATTCGTGCAAGTGCTGTCATTTTCTTGACTTATAATCGTTCCCTCTGAAACATAGGTAGTAGTGTACCAATGTATGTAGGTCGAAAATGTTGTTTACCCACCTCAAGAGTTCTTTTTTTATTAATATTTAATTACATTTTTTGTATCAGGTTTGCAATTTGTTCAACCCTGTTCCCTGTTTGGACAGTATAAATAGAGTTTAAATCATTGATTTGAGTGATTGTAATTGTTAACAGAATTAAAAAATATATATATATTAACAGTAATAAGTAGTAAATGATTTATAGTAATAATTAGAAGAACATTACAAAGTAAATAATTTATACATTTAAAAAGATCAAATAAAATTAGCACTGATAACAGAGTTGTAGATGTAACAGTAATATATAAATTTAGCTTTTAAAGGGATACTCCACCCAAAAATGACAATTCTGTCATCATTTACTCACCCTCAAGTTGTTGCAAACCTGTATGAGTTTCTTTCTTCTGCTGAACACAAAGGAAGATATTTTGAAGAACGATTGGAACTTTGGCACCATTGACTTCCATAGTATTTTTTTTTTCTACTATGGAAGTCAATGGTGCCAAACAACTGTTTGGTTCCAATCGTTCTTCAAAATATCTTCCTTTGTGTTCAGCAGAAGAAAGAAACTCATACAGGTTTGCAACAACTTGAGGGTGAGTAAATGATGACAGAATTTTCATTTTTGGATGGAGTATCCCTTTAATAATTTTGAAAACAGAGCTGAGTGTTTGATAGTTTTTGATTACTTTGGTAACGGTTGAATGTTTGGTAATTTATGATAACTTTAGTAACGCTTTGGTTTTTCTAACAGGGTTGAATGTTTAATTACTTTGGAAACGGTTGACAAAACATTCAAAGTTACCGAACTTTGGTCATTACAATAACTTTGGTAACCGAGTTAAATGTTTAATCATTTTGATAACTTTAGTAACAGAGTTGAATGCTTGATAACTTTAGTAACAGAGTTGAATGCTTGATAACTTTAGTAACAGAGTTGAATGCTTGATAACTTTAGTAACAGAGTTGAATGCTTCTTGATAACTTTAGCAACAGAGTTGAATGCTTGATAACTTTAGTAACAGAGTTGAATGCTTCTTGATAACTTTAGTAACAGAGTTGATTGCTTGATAACTTTAGTAACAGAGTTGAATGCTTGATAACTTTAGTAACAGAGTTGAATGCTTGATAACTTTAGTAACAGAGTTGAATGCTTGATAACTTTAGTAACAGAGTTGAATGCTTGATAACTTTAGTAACAGAGTTGAATGCTTCTTGATAACTTTAGCAACAGAGTTGAATGCTTGATAACTTTAGTAACAGAGTTGAATGCTTCTTGATTAACTTTAGTAACAGAGTTGATTGCTTGATAACTTTAAGAACAGAGTTGAATGCTTGATAACTTTAGTAACAGAGTTGAATGCTTGATAACTTTAGTAACAGAGTTGAATGCTTGATAACTTTAGTAACAGAGTTGAATGCTTCTTGATAACTTTAGTAACAGAGTTGAATGCTTGATAACTTTAGTAACAGAGTTGAATGCTTGATAACTTTAGTAACAGAGTTGAATGCTTCTTGATAACTTTAGTAACAGAGTTGAATGCTTGATAACTTTAGTAACAGAGTTGAATGCTTGATAACTTTAGTAACAGAGTTGAATGCTTGACAACTTTAGTAACAGAGTTGAATGCTTGATAACTTTAGTAACAGAGTTGAATGCTTGACAACTTTAGTAACAGAACTTTAGTAACAGAGTTGAATGCTTGATAACTTTAGTAACAGAGTTGAATGCTTGATAACTTTAGTAACAGAGTTGAATGCTTGATAACTTTAGTAACAGAGTTGAATGCTTCTTGATAACTTTAGTAACAGAGTTGAATGCTTGATAACTTTAGTAACAGAGTTGAATGCTTGATAACTTTAGTAACAGAGTTGAATGCTTCTTGATAACTTTAGTAACAGAGTTGAATGCTTGATAACTTTAGTAACAGAGTTGAATGCTTGATAACTTTAGTAACAGAGTTGAATGCTTGACAACTTTAGTAACAGAGTTGAATGCTTGACAACTTTAGTAACAGAGTTGAATGCTTGACAACTTTAGTAACAGAACTTTAGTAACAGAGTTGAATGCTTGATAACTTTAGTAACAGAGTTGAATGCTTGATAACTTTAGTAACAGAGTTGAATGCTTGATAACTTTAGTAACAGAGTTGAATGCTTGATAACTTTAGTAACAGAGTTGAATGCTTCTTGATAACTTTAGTAACAGAGTTGAATGCTTGATAACTTTAGTAACAGAGTTGAATGCTTGATAACTTTAGTAACAGAGTTGAATGCTTGACAACTTTAGTAACAGAGTTGAATGCTTGACAACTTTAGTAACAGAGTTGAATGCTTGACAACTTTAGTAACAGAGTTGAATGCTTGACAACTTTAGTAACAGAGTTGAATGCTTGGTAACTTTAGTAACAGAGTTGAAGGCTTGTGCTTGGTAACTAATAACAGAGTTGAATGCTTGTGCTTGGTAACTAATAACAGAGGTGAATGCTTGACAACTTTAGTAACAGAGTTGAATGCTTGGTAACTTTAGTAACAAAGTTGAATGCTTGATAACTTTAGTAACAGAGTTGAATGCTTGATAACTTTAGTAACATGGTTAAATGCTTGAACTTGGTCAACATATGGGATTTGTTCCTTGCTTTCGTCTGATGTCAATGTGTACCCAATTTTTGGAAAGCACCATAAAATGTATGGTTCTTGTTCTACAATCTGATTGGATGAGCCATGTTCAAAGCTGTTTGCAGCTACAAACACCAAAAATATCATACAGTTATGTAAAAATCAGCTTCTCATCATTTCTACCAAAAATTGAACGAAATTAATTAATTTCCTCTCTTTTTCAGCATTTGTCTTTGTAGCGTTTATATTGTATCATCAACAATATGGGACACCTGTTTAATTTAAGTCTCAATGACTTTTTTCTCTCTTAGCAGCTATTCCTATTCAATTTCCTTGCGAAGAGCAACCCTATAGCACATCTCTACTAGACCACTTTGCATTTCCCTGTGAAAGTGAACAGCTCTCAGGTCCTTCACTGTGGCGCGAGTGTGTTAATGATGTCAGCCGCATGTGAGGTGTGTGTGACGTCTTCTAGTCTTTCTCCAACCAGCCTCCGATTCTGAATGCTGGCGTTCCTCTGTGGAATCGGGGCTCACGGGGTCCCCGGAGAGACGTGTGCCTCCACCAGGCCAGGACAACACCAACGGCCAATCCCACAGGTGGGTTTACTGCCCATTCAGCGTATTTTTAGCCCAACGTTACACATCTTGGGATCTTCCACAACAGTTTTACATTAACAAGAGGTTTAAGGATCCGGGTGCGACATTCCATGCTCACTGTGGCATGGCACATCTAAAATGTAAAGGTCCACAGGATCCAGTGTTATCAAGCATGTCGCAGGCTGTAACTCAGCTCTGGAAGGCAGCGAGCTAGAGAGAGACCAAAGGAATTTGGGGTGGGTGCGAGGCATCGAACCTTGAGTCTGCATTGCCACAGGACAGAGTTTGTCATGAGAATCCAACAACTGCTAAACAAAGGGCTTATTCAGGTACCTTTCTTCCCAAATCCCTGTCCAACCTGACTCTTGGAGACCTGTGTATGTAATGACTCTTTGAACACACGTGCACCACATTATCTTGCGTAAAGCTATAATTACACTCTCATCCAACAGGATGTCATCCCCCCCCCCCCCCCCCCCCCAAGAGATCTGTTGCTTTCTGCGTTTCCGCCGCAGTCTAAAGTGCTGTGAAGATTAGGCAAGTTAGTCTGGTGGCGTAAGACTTCGCGCGACTTTCCAGTTCCCGCTGGATTTCATCCTCCGCATAAAAGCTTAATAAAGCCTGAACCTCGTCGTCGGTCCATCTGACATTTTTTTAACCCCATTGTTGATTCGAATAGCAAACAATCCGCAAAAGACTTTTAAAAATGGTGGTTGAAATAAAATGCTGCTTGGAGTCAACCAATCAAAATGCTGCGTGAACTCAACCGATCAGCATGTTCAGCGCCCAAGTCCCACCCACGAAAGTTCCTGAACTTTTAAATAAGTACTACCTTTCGATCAGGGATTTTCTGAAGAGGACATTTTTACCTAGCCTGGTCCCACCAGACTCTCGTACATTTCATTTGTACAGAGAGTCTGGCCTTGCTTCATTGACAAGCGTTAACTTCCTTGTAGACGGGTCCTTTGTTGAAGTTCAAAACTATTGGATCTGCCCAGAGTCACTTTGGATCTGCCATAACCAATCGGTAACGTTTGGTCGTGACGTATGACGACTCAAACTAACGCACGACATCAACGTCATCGTTCTCAGCCACTCCCTCTGTTCGGTGATTGGGCCGGTAAAAAATTGACCGGAGAAAACCAAAGAATACAGCACAATCCCAGACGTAGTACTGAAAGAATATGAAAATAGAGCAGAAGTACGTAGGAGGGCGGAGCCTGGCTAATTTTTACCCAGAACTTCATTTAGACCCTGGTCCCTGCGGTGGAAACACACCGAGTACCACCCCGAAGTCCCCAGTTCCTGAGGAAAGGAAAAACAGAATGCAATCATTTCTGTAGGCCAATTCACACTGCACCAATAGACACTGACCAACAGCAACAGACACTTTGTCGAGTTCTGTCGGATCAGTGCGTTACCCATCGGCATTTGTTGTTGTTGCTCACCGCTTGTTTTCGCCAATCGAACATGTTCAATTGCATGTTCAATCGTCCAAGTCGGTGCAGTGTGAATTGGACTTACATAGAATGCGTTTTTATGCACTGTGCTGCATTACTGCATGCTCATTGGCTGATTCGGTGCTGCGCACGCTACTTCAGATGTGCATCTACCGCCATCAACCCGGAACTAAAGCTCGATTCAGTTTGATTCTGTGAACCGGCTCAAATGTTTACCAGCTTCAAAGAATGATTCTTTCAAGAGTCGAACATCACTACAACAAACTACTGGAGACACAACAGCAATAGACACCTACGCTGCCGAGCGCTTTAAATGATACGCGCAAATCTAGTTTAAATCAGTACAAAGATATGTTTTCGCTCATAACTTCTGGAGAGAAATAAAGCAGACGTTGGACAAGGAAGGAAGTTTCTAGTGTGCATGTGTGACACACCTGTTCACGAATTATATAAAACTTTGAAAGGCTGTACTTATGCTAAGTGTGTGTGTCAAAACTGAAGCATGCTTTAAGCTTAAAAGAAAACTTTTAGGAATTCTGTAATAAATAAAACTTGAATCCAATAAATTGTCATGATTCTGCCCTCTTGTCATTCTCTTTCTCTACTCATGGGGCAGGATCATGACAGACCCATGTTACATGTGCAGGCACATGGCCTTGTGTTTGGGCTGTGTGCTTGCGGTGTCTCGTTCTCTTGTCCCGCCCCCTTGTTATCCTCGTTTTGTCATTATTGCTTCATCTGTGTCACCTGCTGTCAATGCCTGTGTCTCCCTATTTAGGCCATGTTTACACGGAAACGATCTGAAGAGAAAACGCAAAAGTGGCGTTTCGTTTTCACTTTTTATTCTGCGTTTAGACGAGCGTTATGGGGGGGAAATCTGCGTGCATATGGAGACGCAAAAGTGTTAGAAATGCGATGTAGTATGCACTCCAGGCGGCTAGGTGGCAATGTGAAGCACTGCCACACAACAACAACAAGTCCGTGCGCCTGCGTACAACCTTCCTTCTACTTCTCTCCCTAGTAGCGCGAAATTGAAAAGACTCTTGGACGTTTATCAGAGCTGCTAGGGCAACTTGAACGTCCGACGCAGTCCGACGTATGGAAATAATCCGACATGTTGGTTGTTATTTTCCTGTACTGGCGCATGCCTGTGACGTAAATGCGTACGCGACGAGAGCCGCCATGAGCAGATTTGCGTTTTTACCCGTTTAGACGGAAACGCGACGGTGGAGCGTTTTTAAGATTTCCACTTTGGAGGGTGGTTTCACTTTTTTGCATTTTTAAGCCCCAAAAACGCCGTCGCCGTGTAAACGAAAGGCACATCCGATAAAATATTATTACGTTTTCACCCGGAATCGTTTTCGTATAAACCGGGCCTTAATCCTCTTGTGTTTGCTGTCCTGGGCTGGTTCATTGTCATACATTGTGAGATACTACCTGTGAGTACGCTGTCTTAGTAAATAGTCTTGTATAGGTTTTTATCTTGTATTTGCTGTCTGTTTAAAGTCTAGTCTTTGTCAAGTGTAGTCTAGTTTAGTCATCCCTCGTTCGTCTTGCCTTTGTTTTGCCCCCTCGTGGGTTTTCCTCGTGTTTTCTGTTATCAATAAACGTTGTGTGATTGGATACCGTCTGCACTTGGGTTCATCTGCTATCCTCATAACATAAATATGTTTATTAAGCAGCCTCAGGTAGTTTTACAAGAATAAAGGCCTGTTCACACCAAGAACGATAATTATAATGATAACCCTATTAGCGTCTACACCAGCGCATTGTTCTGTTTATACGAAGCATGCGCTGCAGTTTTATCGCCTGTCGCTTTACATGCTTAAAGTCCCTGTGGTGAAAATCAATTATTAATGTTATTTATATGTCTATGTGGTGTTTTTAATATGCTTTAAGACAAACCATGTGCAAATTCATAAGTCGACAGCATTGCTGAGTATTTCCTCCTTAAAACTGCAGTGAACCAAAGACAGTCTCAAAAACTCGGTTTGACATCGCTGGTGTTTCTGACGTCACAAACGACCTTGTAACCAATCACGTCACGAGAGGGGCACACTTAAGCATATCATTAACTATGACCGCTCTATAGCAAGGGAGTCTCAAGAGAAGCCAGGTTATCCTGGTATATTTTTCTGTTGATATGAAAAATGGGGTACATTTAGCAATATAGCGGGTATATGATGAATATGACGATGTTATTATGAACTATATGCCTTTCTCCACTGACGTTCTCACGAGTTGTTCATCCTGATTGTTAGAAGGCAGACTGAGATGGCCAACGGGAACATGGTTTGTGTAACATTAGCATCTCATTATTAGCTGTTTGATAATGTAGTCAAGAAAAGGCTAATCATATTAATTACCGCTGTGTGTCCAAAGTTGTAGAGAGCGATACATAAAATGCATTACCATTCTGATACATCGACTTGAATACGAGTTGAGCGAGTGGATCTCTGAGCCGCTGTATCTGTGTCGTTATCATTATAGTTGTGCTGTGGACTCAGCTATTATTTTATGTTTAGAAAGAGTTTTAGAACTATATCTTTATCGTTATGGTTATCATCTTTTAAGAGATGTTTATATGAAAAATGCTTTAGCCGTTAGCATCGTATAGAAAAGCTACAAATAGTATATTTCCCACTTCATTCTATGAAAACAATCCACATATCATCATTAAAAGTTGGTTTTTACACTCAGTTGGTTGTTGGAGCAAACTTTGAGTAGTGTAAATAGTAAATTGTTTAAATTGTCATCAACATTTAGCTTTATGCTAAGCTAAAATGCTATTTCTGTGGGGTTTTTTAACGAAATCTGTTTTATACAAAAGCTAATATGTCTTTAAAAACTATATTCTTGCCTGCAAGTTTTCGTCTCATTTTACAGTAAAAATAAAATAAAAATTCCCTCAGCTAGAAACATTTGATTGAGAAGCAAATCCAAATGGATGCAAATGAGTCTGCTAGTCACTCTGAGCAGCACTGGACGAAAGGCAAATTGCAAATGTAAACTTAGTGGCTTCTCTTTCATTCTCTTCTTTCTAGTGGCCAGACCGTGGGCTTTGCATGCCGGCCAAAGATTCCTCGCACCCCTGACAGTGACGCAGGCAGCACTGGCAGGTCTCGCCTGGCCCCCCAGTTCTCCAACAGCGAGCCCCAGCAGAGCGCCAGCCGGCCCGGGTCCACGGGGGGCTCCGGGGGGCGGCCCAGCCAACTGAGTGAGTCATGCACACAACTTCCCCATCAAAATCAACACTCAAATTGTCTCTCAAACAAAACTTGTGTGCATTTATCTTATCTATGTGATCAGCCACCAATCCCACCCATGTTTGAAGACTATTCCTGTGAATCCCTTTTTAATGTAAATCATGTAATGTAAATGGCTACTTGACATTTTGTATGTGTGCAGTATAAGTGCAAACGCCTTTGTTATATACTTTTACTCTCATGTGTACCATATGTTGTGTAACATCATTGCGAGCTCTTATGTATAAAGCAAATACGCCGATGAGAAGCCATTACTCACAGTGATTTTACTATGGTCAAAGTGTGTTAACATTTCCGGTTCAGATTACCCTATAATTCTTTAACGGGCGCATTAAGTGGTTTCCTTAATTTATTAGGTGCGTTAACGATTATTTTAATACTTTTAAGAACTGTTAAGGGAAAAAATTCAATTTGAGAAATGCTGTGTTTTTAGATGCAAAATAAATGCAATCCAGTAACTGGCCTTTACAATATATTGAATGATAAATATTTAAAAGAAAAACAAGCTAAACAGTTTTTCTTTAAATGTAATGTAACATATTTCATTCATTAATTTTATTTTTTATAAAATACTACGGACAAAATGAATCATAATGTGTGTATTTTGTTTAGGAATCAAACTGCACAGGTTGCAATAATGAAAAAGAACCAGATTATAAGATTAATTTGTTCAGATTAGATTACACTGATGGTGCTGAATGTGTTTGGTTCATTAAACAGAGCCGGCTCATAAGAGTCATTCTTTGGTTGTGCTGTACACTTGTGATTCACTGAACTGCCTCATAACACTATATATTAATTACAGTATATATTAACTATTAACTACACACACAAACTTGTTTTTATGTAGACTTTCCATAGACGTAATGATTTTTACTGTTAAAAATACTGTTAAAACTGTATATTTTATCCCCCTACTATACCTCCTCACCACAGAAAACTTTCTGCATTTTTTTATTTTCAAAAAGCATCACTTGTTATGATTTATAAGCAGTTTTGCTCGTGTGGGCCGACCAAATCCCTCCACAATGTCAACATTTACACATTGTACTATATTTGTAAGGACATTTGGTTCTTTCAATGTTGGTTAAACAAGAACACACACACACACACACATACATACATACACACACAAAATTGTTGAAAATAAATATCTTTTTTTTTATTAGTATTGTGATACACAACATTCACTTAAAACTATTTACAAACAGAAAATATGCAATGAAGTTTAAAGTGCCACTTTGTCTGATAGACAAAACCTCTATTTTTCTTGCTAGGTATTTTTTCTCTCTTATTCTGTTCTGGAACAAGTTTAATGGAACAAGTTTAATGCAAATCTAGTAGTTTAGGTTGACCGGTGTTCCCAGAGTGTTTGATTTCAGGAGAAAAAGCTTAGTTTACAAAGGTTTTTTACTGTTTAAGCTCAGTTTTTTTACATGAAGTGATAAATTAAAGTACAATTATGAACAGTAAATAATAGAGTGAAGTAAATTATTGAAGGACAGTCATTGAAGATTATATTAGAAAAAAGAGAAATTTCTATAAATGCAAATATGGAGATATTTGACTTGAGGTAAGGGAACACTTAAAGTGTCTTTATTTATTTACTCTCTCATTCAGTCGTTTGTTCTTGTTTTTGTTGGAACAGATGTCAAGCAGTATGAACCACAGCTGCAGAACAGCTGAGTGTTTTATGACGTCAAAGGACAGTGTGTCTTGGAGATTGACAAAGGCGTCCTTATATTAGATATGTTTGCTTTGTTGGTATGTTGTTTCTTGGGCATTCTGGGTGATTCATACAGTGTTCTGGGTGGTTGCTACTTGCTAGGTGTTTGAGTTGTTGGTAGGTGGTTTCTAGAGAAATATGGTTGATTTATAGTGTTCTGGGTGATTTATAGAGTGGGTGATTTATAGAGTGTTCTGGGTGATTTATAGAGTGTTCTGGGTGGTTGCTATGTGTTTGCGTTGTTGGTATGTTGTTTCTAGGGCATTCTGGGTGATTGATATGGCGTTCTGTGTGGTTGCTAGGTGTTTGGGTCGTTGGTAGGTGGTTTCTATGGCATTCTGGGTGATTGATATGGCGTTCTGTGTGGTTGCTAGGTGTTTGGGTCGTTGGTAGGTGGTTTCTAGAGAAATATGGTTGATTTATAGTGTTCTGGGTGATTTATAGAGTGGGTGATTTATAGAGTGTTCTGGGTGATTTATAGAGTGTTCTGGGTGGTTGCTATGTGTTTGCGTTGTTGGTATGTTGTTTCTAGGGCATTCTGGGTGATTGATATGGCGTTCTGTGTGGTTGCTAGGTGTTTGGGTCGTTGGTAGGTGGTTTCTATGGCATTCTGGGTGATTGATACAGCGTTCTGGGTGGTTGCTAGGTGTTTGAATTGTTGTCAGAACGCTCTATAAATCAACCAGATTTCTCTAGAAACCACTTAACAACAATTTAAACACCTAGCAACCACCCAGAACGCCGTATTAATCACCCAGAATGCCTTAGAAACAACCTACCAACAACCCAAACACATAGCAACCACTCAGAACACTCTATAAATCAACCTGATTTCTCTAGAAACCACCTGAGTGGTTGCTATGTGTTTGGGTTGTTGGTAGGTTGTTTTTAGGTCATTCTGGGTGATTGATAAAGTGTTCTGGGTGGTTGCTAGGTGTTTGGGTCGTTGGTATGTTGTTTCTAGGGCATTCTGGGTGATTGATACGGCGTTTTGGGTGGTTGCTATGTGTTTGAGTTGTTGGTAGTTGGTTTCTAGGGAAATCTGGTTGATTGAGTGTTCTGGGTGGTTGCTATGTGTTTGGGTCATTGGTATGTTGTTTCTATGGCATTCTGGGTGATTGATACGCCGTTCTGGGTGGTTGCTAGGTGTTTGGGTCGTTGGTATGTTGTTTCTAGGGCATTCTGGGTGATTGATACAGCGTTCTGTATCGTTGCTAGGTGTTTGAGTTGGTGGTAGGTGGTTTCTAGAGAAATATGGTTGATTGATAGTGTGTTCTGGGTGGTTGCTAGGTGTTTGGGTCGTTGGTATGTTGTTTCTAGGGCATTCTGGGTGATTGATACGGCGTTCTGGGTGGTTGCTAGGTGTTTGGGTCGTTGGTATGTTGTTTCTAGGGCATTCTGGGTGATTGATATGGTGTTCTGGGTGGTTGCTAGGTGTTTGGATCGTTGGTAGGTTGTTTTTAGGTCATTCTGGGTGATTGATACGGTGTTCTGTGTGGTTGCTAGGTGTTTGGGTCGTTGGTAGGTTGTTTTTAGGTCATTCTGGGTGATTGATACGGTGTTCTGGGTGGTTGCTAGGTGTTTGGGTCGTTGGTAGGTTGTTTTTAGGTCATTCTGGGTGATTGATTGGATGATTGTTGAATTGTTGATTGGTCACTGTTCTGGACGGTTGCCTAGGTATTCTGGATTGTTGCTAGGGTGGTCTGGGTGGTTGCTACAGTGTTTTGGGTGGTTGCTAAGGTGTTCTGGTTTTTGCTAACACATTCAGAGTGATTGATATGGTGTTCTGGGTGTAGGGTGTTTAATTCCTTGCCTTGCGGTTGCTATGGCGGGTTCTGGGTTATTAGGTGTTATTAGGGTGTTCTGGCGGTTGCTTGATTGCTAGGTTGTTGATACTGTGTTTTGGGTGCTTTAGGGTGTTCTTAGTTGTTGCTACAGTGTTTTGGGTTGTTTTTGTAGGTGTTTTGTTAGGGCATTCTGTGTGATTGATAGGGTGTTATGGGTTGCTGGGCAGTTTCTATAGTGTTCTGGGTGATTTATAGGGTTTTTTAGATTGCATCTGCATTCAGTGTTCTGCTAAGGTGTTCTGGCTTGTTGCTAGATGTTTACAGGGTTATTAGTTGGTTGCTAAAGTATTGTGGATGGTTGCCAGGGCGTTGTTGTGTGGTTGCTAAGGTGTTCTGAGTTGTTTTTGTCTTTATTTTAACTTTATTTTAACAGTAGTGGTTATGTGTAACTAACTAAAACCAAAGTAACTTACTAAACCAGTCATTCTGTCTTGACATTACAATGTCATAATTTACTCTTACTGTAAATGCATGTATTATTACTGTATAAAGGTACTGGGTTACACTATTTTACAGTGTCCTTGTTGCAGTGTAATTATACATTTATACATAATTGTTTTAAGTTGTATTAACTATGCAACAGACTTTAATTGCAGTGTTCTCAATATTTATAAGTTAGTAGTACTTAATAAATTAGCAGCGGACAGAAATACTTTTTTATATATATATATATATATATATATATGGCCATATCAAACATTTTATACCCATTCCACTATGAGGTCTATCTTTCAGAAATGAGAATGGAATTAGACTTGCCAATAGTGTATTTGATGGTGACTCCTTCCTGCCTGATGCATTACTGGAAAATCAATTATCCTCGATAATGCACACATGGTCAAAGCTCCACATTATGTTTAGTTCCTGTTAAGGGCTTTAAGATCTTTTTATTGGAAAAAGACAAATTGGAAAAGGGCACTCAGTGTGTCTGTTCCGACCACAATCTGATCAGTTAAGACATCAGGAAATATGGCTATTAAACTAAGAATACAACATAAGATCACTGCTAGAAGCGTGAAGCTCACAAAACCTTTCAAGATCATTTATGGGTCATATTTTGTCTCAAAAATATGGATTTTTTTATTTTTAATCAAATTAATTACATAAAATGCCAATTCAAGTCACAAAATAAACACATACATTTTTATTAAGAAAAGCCCTCAGATAAAAATGATTCAAAGACATTGCATGGTTGTAGCAGATGAAAAAAAATATCATTAAATAGACAATAAAATAAACAAACAAATAGTTCAACTTGGGGAGGGAAAACTGTTGTGGTCCGTTCTGTCATTGTTTCGATTGTAGAAAAAAAATATTATTACCTTTTTTTATATGTACGGGTCAAAAAGCATAATATTTGCGTACATTTGAAGCTCTTTTTTAATGAATTGCATCAAATTTACATTTGATATTGACAAACAAAAATGTTAGCATTTATTTTTATCATTTCAGTCTTTACGCTATGTGCTTTTGTCATTTTATTAGTTTTTTTAATATATATTACTATTTAGGTAAAATTTATTGCATTTCAGTTTTAGTTTTTATTTATTTCCAGTTAATAATGTTTGTGCTTCAACTTATGCTTATTTCAGTTTATTGCCAAGCCAACATTTCAATTCTCAATGACATTAAAACAGTGATAAATTATTTAAATTAAAAAAAAAAATATATATATATATAGTATTTATTGAATTTATAATGATTTAAATAAATGGAAAATAATGAGAATTTTTGGTTTAAAAAAAATAATGCTCTTAAAATAATTCTCTATAATGTAATGTAATTTATTTTATTTGTTGTTTTTGATTTTGGGTATTTCTTATGCATGTTGTATTTCACCGTATGATCCTGATTCCATGCTGTTGTGCATTTACCATAGTATGAAAGACTCTGTATTTGGTATTTAAATAACTGTCTGAAATATGATGATGATTTATCTCTTCACAGCCCCGTCTAGGGGTTTACCCAGAAATCCAATCGTCTTTTACGTTTAATTATGTTCTTATTCTTATCACCTGAAATAATAGATTTAAAGAGATGACAAAATTGCAAAAGAATGCATTAACGACTAATTAAAGTGAATAGTTATAAACATGACACACATGTGTATTATACTCCACACCTTCTTTTCACCTTCCAGGCAGCCAGTTGAACAGAAAGTGAAAAGGGGAAGCTTTCAGCAGAAGCCTATCGGCAGAGGAGCATCCAGCTTCCTGTAACAGCATCCAAATTGCTTATCAGGCCGTGGGCCTGTGGAACAAAGCTGAGGATTGTGGCTCCTAAGGACCTTTCAGCCCCTGCCACAGAGCGCCTCTGTAACACAACACACTTCAGCAATCATCACAACATGTACTTTCATTATCCCACAACCTTCCAAACGCCTGGTGCTCCACGCCGGCTTTGTTACTCGTGAACCTCGACCACCCTCTCTCAGAGGAAGCAGATGTATTTAAAAACATAGAAGAATGAAGGTGTTTTCGGTCAATGTTGATTGTGTTTTCTGTATCGCACTCGTTTGTATCGCAGCTCATGTAACCTTGTTTCAGCTAGCTTGCAGAGTCGTAAAACTTTGAATTCACTTGTAGTTTGTTTTGCATGATTGTGCTGTGTAAAATAGACCTGATGGAGGAAACTAACACAGGTAACTTTGAACAACCAGATTGATGTTTGGATATGTATTTTGCCATTTAAAAATTTGCTTTGCGCTTTAAAGTGTTTTGAAGTCATAGATTGTGAATATTTTTTTACATTAAATATAATACATTTTATATAAAAAGAAAAGTCCTTTTGTGTCATATTATGTCATAATATAACCAGCAATGTAACACACACACACACACTCACTGGACACTTTATTAGGTACACATGTTCAGCTACTCAGTAACGCAAATATTTAATCAGTTAATCACATGCCAGCAACTCAGTCCATTTAGACATGTGGACATTATCAATAAGATCTGCTGAAGTTCAAACAGAGCATAAGATTGGAGAATAAAAGTGATTTAAGTGACTTTGAACGTGGCATGATTGTTGTATTGTTGGAGTACTTCAGAAACTGCTGCTCTACTGGGATTTTCACACACAACCATCTCTAGGGTTTACAGAGAATGGTCCGAAGAAAATATCCAGTGAGCGGCAGTTCTGCGGGAGAAAATGCCTTGTTGATGCCAGAGGTCAGAGGAAAATGACCAGACTGCTTCAGCTGATAGAAAAGTAGCAGAAACTCAAATAAACACTTACAACCGAGGTGCAGAAGAGCATCTCTGAACACACAACACATCAAACCTTGAAGCAGAAGAGCATCTCTAAACACTCAACACATCAAACCTTGAAGCAGAAGAGCATCTCTGAACGCTCAACACGTCCAACCTTGAAGCAGAAGAGCATCTCTGAACACTCAACACACCAAACCTTGAAGCAGAAGAGCATCTCTGAACACTCGACACATCAAACCTTGAAGCAGAAGAGCATCTCTGAACACTCAACACATCAAACCTTGGAGCAGAAGAGCATCTCTGAACACTCAACACGTCCAACCTTGAAGCAGAAGAGCATCTCTGAACGCTCAACACACCAAACCTTGGAGCAGAAGAGCATCTCTGAACACTCAACACGTCCAACCTTGAAGCAGAAGAGCATCTCTGAACGCTCAACACATCAAACCTTGGAGCAGAAGAGCATCTCTGAACACTCAAAACATCCAATCTTGAAGCAGAAGAGCATCTCTGAACGCTCAACACACCAAACCTTGGAGCAGAAGAGCATCTCTGAACGCTCAACACATCAAACCTTGTAGCAGAAGAGCATCTCTGAACGCTCAACACATCAAACCTTGGAGCAGAAGAGCATCTCTGAACACTCAACACATCAAACCTTGAAGGACAAGAGCATCTCTGAACACTCGACACATCAAACCTTGGAGCAGAAGAGCATCTCTGAACGCTCAACACACCAAACCTTGAAGCAGAAGAGCATCTCTGAACGCTCAACACATCCAACCTTGAAGCAGAAGAGCATCTCTGAACGCTCAACACACCAAACCTTGGAGCAGAAGAGCATCTCTGAACACTCAACACACCAAACCTTGAAGCAGAAGAGCATCTCTGAACGCTCAACACATCCAACCTTGAAGCAGAAGAGCATCTCTGAACGCTCAACACACCAAACCTTGGAGCAGAAGAGCATCTCTGAACACTCAACACACCAAACCTTGAAGCAGAAGAGCATCTCTGAACACTCAACACACCAAAACTTGGAGCAGAAGAGCATCTCTGAACGCTCAACACATCAAACCTTGAAGCAGAAGAGCATCTCTGAACACTCAACACATCAAACCTTGGAGCAGAAGAGCATCTCTGAACACTCAACACGTCCAACCTTGAAGCAGAAGAGCATCTCTGAACGCTCAACAGACCAAACCTTGAAGCAGAAGAGCATCTCTGAACACTCAACACACCAAACCTTGGAGCAGAAGAGCATCTCTAAACGCTCAACACATCAAACCTTGAAGCAGAAGAGCATCTCTGAACGCTCAACACATCAAACCTTGGAGCAGAAGAGCATCTCTGAACACTCAACACGTCCAACCTTGAAGCAGAAGAGCATCTCTGAACGCTCAACAGACCAAACCTTGGAGCAGAAGAGCATCTCTGAACGCTCAACACATCAAACCTTGAAGGAGAAGAGCATCTCTGAACACTCGACACATCAAACCTTGAAGCAGAAGAGCATTTCTGAACACTCGACACACCAAACCTTGAAGCAGAAGAGCATCTCTGAACACTCAACACGTCCAACCTTGAAGCAGAAGAGCATCTCTGAACACTCAACACGTCCAAACTTGAACCAGAAGAGCATCTCTGAACACTCGACACATCAAACCTTGAAGCAGAAGAGCATCTCTGAACACTCAACACACCAAACCTTGGAGCAGAAAAGCATCTCTGAACACTCAACACATCCAACCTTAAAGCAGAAAAGCATCTCTGAACACTCAACACACCAAACCTTGGAGCAGAAGAGCATCTCTGAACGCTCAACACATCAAACCCTGAAGCAGAAAAGCATCTCTGAATACTCAACACACCAAACCTTGGAGCAGAAGAGCATCTCTGAACACTCGACACATCAAACCTTGAAGCAGAAGAGCATCTCTGAACACTCAACACACCAAACCTTGGAGCAGAAGAGCATCTCTGAACACTCGACACACCAAACCTTGAACCAGAAGAGCATCTCTGAACACTCGACACATCAAACCTTGAAGCAGAAGAGCATCTCTGAACACTCAACACACCAAACCTTGGAGCAGAAGAGCATCTCTGAACACTCGACACATCAAACCTTGAAGCAGAAGAGCATCTCTGAACACTCAACACATCCAACCTTGAAGCAGAAGAGCATCTCTGAACACTCAACACACCAAACCTTGGAGCAGAAGAGCATCTCTGAACACTCGACACATCCAACCTTGAAGCAGAAAAGCATCTCTGAACACTCAACACACCAAACCTTGAAGCAGAAGAGCATCTCTGAACGCTCAACAGACCAAACCTTGAAGGAGAAGAGCATCTCTGAACACTCGACACATCAAACCTTGAAGGAGAAGAGCATCTCTGAACACTCGACACATCAAACCTTGAAGCAGAAGAGCATCTCTGAACACTCAAAATGTCCAACCTTGAAGCAGAAGAGCATCTCTGAACACACAACACATCAAACCTTGAAGCTGAAGAGCATCTCTGAACGCTCAACACATCAAACCTTGAAGGAGAAGAGCATCTCTGAACACTCGACACATCAAACCTTGAAGCAGAAGAGCATCTCTGAACACTCGACACACCAAACCTTGAAGCAGAAGAGCATCTCTGAACACTCAACACGTCCAACCTTGAAGCAGAAGAGCATCTCTGAACACTCAACACGTCCAACCTTGAAGCAGAAGAGCATCTCTGAACACTCAACACGTCCAAACTTGAACCAGAAGAGCATCTCTGAACACTCGACACATCAAACCTTGGAGCAGAAGAGCATCTCTGAACACTCAACACACCAAACCTTGGAGCAGAAGAGCATCTCTGAACACTCAACACATCAAACCTTGAAGGAGAAGAGCATCTCTGAACACTCGACACATCAAACCTTGAAGCAGAAGAGCATCTCTGAACACTCAACACGTCCAACCTTGAAGCAGAAGAGCATCTCTGAACACTCAACACGTCCAAACTTGAACCAGAAGAGCATCTCTGAACACTCGACACATCAAACCTTGGAGCAGAAGAGCATCTCTGAACACTCAACACACCAAACCTTGGAGCAGAAGAGCATCTCTGAACACTCAACACATCAAACCTTGAAGGAGAAGAGCATCTCTGAACACTCGACACATCAAACCTTGGAGCAGAAGAGCATCTCTGAACACTCAACACATCAAACCTTGAAGGAGAAGAGCATCTCTGAACACTCGACACATCAAACCATGAAGCAGAAGAGCATCTCTGAATGCTCAACACATCAAACCTTGAAGCAGAAGAACATCTCTGAACACTCAACGCATCCAACCTTGAAGCAGAAGAGCTGTGGTTCCCAAACTGGGGTCCGCGCTCACCTGAGGGGGGCACCAGAGTTTGCAGGGGAGAGCTTAAATGCTTTGAGGTCAAATATGGACACAAAAAACCTTTTCATATAGTTTATAAGAATGCACCAAATGATTGGCCATGGATCGGAACCAGTTGATAGTTACTTCCTTTGATTCTAGAGGTGGTCTTTCAGCTCGCCGATCACATAAATGGATCACATTTCCATGACGCAAAAGACATGAGCTTGGCGCGAGGAATATGAATATGGTCTCCACCAGGCTAGATTACAATAATAACGCAGTGAAAAGGTATGTATAATTTCCAACCAATCGCCAATAACTGTAGCTGTACACTGTAACTGTACATCAGCATACATGTGCTGCTCTTCTGAACTCTCTTCTGAACTCTTTCCCTCACAGTGAGAGCGTGTTCTCCTCATTAGAGCTTCAGGTGAAGGGTTGCCAGTTGTAGAGATGCACTGGTCGACAGACCATCAATCAGAACCGGCCAGTTCCCTTTTTTCCCTCAGGTTTGAGAATCACTGGCCTACACATAGTGACACTCCTGTCAGCTCAGAACAGTAAACTGAGGCAACAATTCACACTGACTCACCAAAACTGGACAATAGAAGATTGGAAAAATGTTGCCTGGTCTGATGAGTCTCGATTTCTGCTGCAACATTCAGATGGTCGGGTCAGAATTTGGTGTAAACATCATGAAAGCATGGGTCCATCCTGCCTTATATCAGCGGTTCAGGCTGCTGGTGGTGTAACAGTGTATTGGATATTTTCTTGGCACACTTAGTACCAATTGAGCATTGTTTAATCGCCACAGTCTGAGTATTGTTGCTGACTGTGTCCACCCCTTTATTACCACAGTGTATCATCTTATGACGAATACTTCCAGCAGGATAATGTCGCAAAAGCTCAAATCATCTCAAACTGGTTTCTCGAGGATGACAGTAAGTTTACTAAACTCAAATGGCCTCAACAGTCACCAGATCTCAATCCAGTAGAGCAGCTTTGGGATGTGGTGGAACGGGATATTCCCATCATGGATGAGCAGCCAACAAATCTGCACTTTTGACTGCTTTTTATATTGTTTAAAGATATTAAAGTCCCACTCCGATCATATTTTGAGCTATTTTTTAAACATTCCCAGTGGTCTTTAAATTATGATTATGCCATTTTTAGCCAAAATTACAAAACCTGTGCCGTTTTC